AACGGACTCACGGGCAACTGGAGCAACGGGCTCACGGGCGACTGGCGCAACGGGCTCACGGGCGACTGGCACAACGGTCTCACGGGCGACTGGAGCTGCTGGCTTCTCGGCGGCCACCCCCTTCAACCTCCCCAAACTATCCCACCCCGATTTCACACACCCCCTACTGCACCCCTAGGGTCACTCACACCCCACCCCCTAGCACCACTCCGTCGACTCCCACACACCCACCCCCCTCAACGGCAGCTGCAGGAGTGGGAGACAGAGGAGGAGGAGGAGCAGGGGAGACCACACACCCGCCACCCCCCACTCGCCACCCCCAAACCCGAACACAGGGCAGGGCGGGATGGCGGGTAGAGAGGTTATGGGGGGGGGGGGGGGGCGGGGCCGACGCGCGGCCTCCCTGGGCGCCAAAGTAGGCAGCAGAAGGGGCGACGCTCGCCCCCCTCCCCCAGGTCCCCTCGACAGGCGACGGGAAAAGGGGGGGGGGGGGGGGGGGGGGGGTGCACGTGCCCCCGGTGTGCCGCGGCTGGCGACGAGGCATGGTCGGGGCGGGGCGGGGCCGCAAGTGGCGGCGACGGGGCCGCTGGCGGCGACGACGGGGCCGATAGGAGCGGCGACAGGGGGCGACGCGCGGGTCCCCGTCGCCCGTCGCAGCGCCTCTCGGGGGCGACGCGCCGAGTGACGGGGCAGAAACCCGTCGCGCGCCTCGGGGCGCACGGCGGGCAGAAAACTGTCAGAATCCCAACCACTAGACCATTGGGATAAAAGGGCTTGTTTAAGTAGCGGGTCAGTGCGCCCATAACCCCCCAGGCAACCGTGCCTGTAACCCTTTCCTAGGATCAATCGGGGATCACCAGTGGACCTCTGACACCCCCCCGCACTGGGATGCCCGAAGTGCATACACCGGGATTCGAACCAGAGACCTTTGCTCTGATACCATGTCAGAATCCCAACCACTAGACCATTGGGATAAAAGGGCTTGTTTAAGTAGCGGGTCAGTGCGCCCATAACCCCCCAGGCAACCGTGCCTGTAACCCTTTCCTAGGATCAATCGGGGATCACCAGTGGACCTCTGACAAAAACCGCCGCGCGCCTCGGGGCGCACGGCGGGAAGAAAAACTGCCGCACGCCACGGGGCGTGCGGCAAAAAGAGTAGCAGTAGCAGTTGCAACGGAAGCAACGAGGTGGTGAGCCCACCCACATGATCGATCCAAGGGGATTGACCTGCTCTGATAGCATGTGAAAATTTAGAAGAAATAAGAGGGTTGCACTAGCAAGAATGAGGATACAAATAGAAAACCCTAGAAGGGTTGTACTCGCTATAGAGCACCCCACTACAGGCTAGAGCATAATATTCTGACATGATGTACATGGGGGGGGGTTCTTGGCGCAGAACTCAGCAGGAAGCACAGCGCGGTAGCGAGTGTCACTAGTGCGGAGGTGCGTAATGAGGTCAGCAACAGTGGGAAAGGCAGCAAGGTCAGGGAAGAGGTACGGTAGCATGAGGCGGCTCAGTGCAGCAATGGCAGGGGAAGAGTAGCGTGCAACTACAGCGTCGTACAAGGTCTGAGCACTCTTGTACTGGCTAAAGTGTGCACGCTCAGTGCTCGGTAAGTGGCGGCGCACAGCAAGGCGAGCAGCAGCGTCACGTGTGGCCCACTGTGAGCGAACAGTGGCGTCAGCATCAGCAGCAGGGGCAGGGGAGGCACCAGAAGTGAGGTCAAATAGGGAGAGGCCGTCTGCCCTATCGCACTACAGGAAAAGCTGCAGATCATCTACCCAGGCCTCAAAGTCCACTGCTCGACCCTCAGCGTCAAAGGTGAGAACGCTAGGGGAAGCCATAGCAGCAGGAGGCAGGGCAGTGCAGTGGCAGAGACTGTGCTCTTACCAGGTAGGTGGAGCGATCGGGCTGCTCGGCGGCTCGGCTGTCGGGCGACTCGGCTGCAGGGCGGCTCGGCTGCTGGGCGGCTCGGCTGCTGGGCGGCTCGGCTGCTGGTGCGGGGCGGCTCGGCTGTCGGGCGGCTCGGCTGCTGGGCGGCTCGGCTGCTGGGCGGCTCGGCTGCACGGTGCTGGGCGGCTCGGTTGTCGGGCGGCTCGGCTGCTGGGCGGCTCGGGAGGTCGGGCGGCTCAGGTGGCCGGCGGTTCGGCTGCTCGGCGTTGCGGGCGCTGGGAGGCGGGGTCGCAGGTGGTGGCGAGGTCGCAGGTGGCGGCGGGCCGCAAGGGTGGGCGGGGCCGCGGTGGCGACGGGGCCGAAGTGGGGCCTAAGTGGGGCCGTAGAGGGGCCGACGGGGCCGAAGTGGGGCTGTAGCGGGGCCGCAGCGGGGCCTAAGCGGGGCCGAAGCGGGGCCGTAGCGGGGCCTAAGCGGGGCCGTAGTGGGGCCGTGGCGGGGCCGTAGCGGGGCCGACGGGGCCGACGGGGCCGTAGCGGGGCCGTAGCGGGGCCTAAGCGAGGCCGACGGGGCCGACGGGGCCGTAGCGGGGCCGTAGCGGGGCCGTAGCGGGGCCTAAGCAGGGCCGACGGGGCCGTAGCGGGGCCGTAGCGGGGCCGACGGGGCCTAAGCGGGGCAGTAGCGGGGCCGACGGGGCAGACGCGGCCGTAGCGGGGCCGTAGCGGGGCCTAAGCGGGGCCGACGGGGCCTAAGCGGGGCCGTAGCGGGGCCGACGGGGCCGACGGGGCCGTAGCGGGGCCGTAGCGGGGCCTAAGCGGGGCCGACGGGGCCGACGGGGCCGTAGCGGGGCCGTAGCGGGGCCGTAGCGGGGCCGTAGCGGGGCCATAGCGGGGCCTAAGCGGGGCCGTAGCGGGGTCGACGGGGCCTAAGCGGGGCCGTAGCGGCCTAAGCGAGGCCGTAGAGGGCGGCTTGAGGGGCAGTAAGGGCGGCCAATAGGGGCCACTAAGGCGGCTCGAGGCGCTACTCGGGTTAGGAGCTAAGCGCGCTCCAGGCAGGGAAGGAAAAAAAAAGTTCGTGGTGGGCCCTAGGCAGTATTCCCACTCGGGAACCTGCTCTGATACCATGACGAGAAGTGAGAATGGAATGAATGAACTATGAAACAGTTGGGTACAAGTACTAACCCTAATTGGGTTGTACCCCTTATGGGCTACCCCACTACAGCCTACACAAATGTATAAGCTATAATGTTCTGACAATACCCTCTTAGCATCTTGGCACGCTATGTTGCTCCTGGGAGACACCGACCAGAGCACATGGCTGCAGCGAAGAGGGTGTTGCGCTACGTGTGCAGTACATCGGGCATGGGGCTAGTGCTTGGAGGGCGGCGTCGAGTGGTCCTCACAGGTCACGCAGACGCTTCTTGGGTTGACGACCAGGCTCTGCAGCGGTCGTCACAGGGTTACACCTTCAGCCTTGGTTCCGGCTCTGTTTCGTGGCGGTCTACCCGCTCGTCTTCTGTTCTCAGCTCCAGCTGTGAGGCTGAGATCTACGCAGGGGCCATGGCTGCACAGGAGCTACGCTGGCTCACCTACCTGCTGACTGACCTAGGAGAGCCACCTCGTTCTCCTCGAGTTCTGTACGTAAACAACAAGGCCATGCTGGCCTTGTGTCGGGAGCACAGACTGGAGCACAGAACGAAGCACATTGCTCTCCGCTACTTCCTGGCTCGTGAGCTGCAGCAGCGTGGTCAGCTCCGCCTCACCTACGTGGCCTCTGAGGCCAACACTGCTGATATCTTCACCAAGGCCCTTCCGCCTTGTGATCATCAGCGCTTCTGTACTGTGCTAGGTCTTGTGCCTACTTGGCCTCACTTGCTCACTTCTTGACCTTGCTTGTACTGTCCTCTTTCTATACCTGCACTTGCTTGTTTACCTTTATATATATGATCTTGCCTGTGAACTGGCCTTGTGGCCTTGCTCTTGTGCTCGGACTGTGTGGTGACGTTGTGATCCACCCTGAGCTTGCTTTGCTTTGCTTGACTGGTCTTGTGACCCCTTGTTCTCCCCCACTCTGCCTATGGGGGTGTGTCAGGCATATATGCTATAGTCTGTGTAGGCTGTAGTGGGGCAATCCATATGGGCTACAACAGTTTAGGGTTTGCTACTTGTACTCCCCTTTCTGTTTAATGCATCCATTCTCGTTTCTCATCACACTTTAAAGCCCAAGGTCAGCATGGTAAATTTTCAAGTTATGCGGGGTTGAAACAGTATGGCGAAAATAATAATATCGTGTATTTCGGAAATGTGTGTGGGGCGAAAGCGAATTCAGGAGGCGGGTGAAACAGCCTTCGCCACGATACTATGCGACAGCTGTTTCCAAGGATATGGGAGGGCCGAACGACTGTGTGTGTGACGGAGCACTGCTCCAGCCCCACCACTTCTTGTTGCGCTTCTCTTGGGGTTGAAATCGTGGGCAACGCGAAACTCACGCGAGTGAGAGTAAGGCAGTACACTGAACACTATTTTAACGATTTCTGATTTACTAAAATATCTGGATGCTTGTGAGACTTCAATTGAGACAAACACAACACTTCAAGTGCTGATTAGGTGCAGAAAAGCATTGCAAGCAAATTGTGAATTAAAAAAAAAAAAATGAAATATCAAGAAACGCATCACCAATATATTTTGGGAACGCACTCTCTCAAGCTCAGATCCCTCAACTCATAAGGATCTCGGCCGGCCACATATCGACATGCCGTGCTGGTCCCTGCACCACTCTGCACTCCCCCGGCCCACAGCAGCGCAGACCTGATGTGCGCTACCGCCATCATTTATGCCAGCATGGTCTGCCCCCTCACGCATCAATGCTCCGCGGCATCCTGCTGGGCAGCAGGGGAGGCTGAAGACAGCTTCGGGAGGAGGCTGCCTCACAGCTCCGCCAGCAAGCCTCAGGGCAGATCCACTCGAAGATCTGCTGGATGCGGTGCTTCGGTGGCCTGCCACGAGGAAGAGGGGGAGCAGAGGGGGAGGGAGTGGGGAGAGAGTGACGCTCATCACTAGTGCCAGGGGATGCAGTCATCGAAGAACTTCTGCATGCGCGTGCGTGTTGCTATGCACCGTGTAGAGAAGGGAAGGGGATGGGGGGAAGCAGGGAAGGGGATGGGGGGAAGCAGGGAAGGGGATGGGGGGAAGCAGGGAAGGGGATTGGGGGAAGCAGGGAAGGGGATGGGGGGAAGCAGGGAGCGGGATGGGAGGAAGCAGGGAGCGGGATGGGGGGAAGCAGGGAGCGGGATGGGGGGAAGCAGGGAAGGGGATGGGGGGAAGCAGGGAAGGGGATGGGGAGAAGCAGGGAAGGGGATGGGGGGAAGCAGGGAGCGGGATGGGGGGAAGCAAGGAAGGGGATGGGGAGAAGCCTGGCGAAGGGAGGGGGAAGCAGGGTGAAGGGAGGGGGGAAGCTTGGCAGAGGGAGGGGGGAAGCAGGGCGAAGGGAGGGGGGAAGCAGGGCAGAGGGAGGGGGGAAGCAGGGCATAGGGAGGGGGGAAGCAGGGCGGTGGGAGGGGGGAAGCAGGGAGGAGGGAGGGGGGAAGCGGGGAGGAAGGAGGGGGGAAGCAGGGAGGTGGGAGGGGAGAAGCAAGGAGGAGGGAGGGGGGAAGTAGGCGGAGGGAGGGGGGAAGCAGGGTGGAGGGAGGGGGGAAGCAGGGTGGAGGGAGGGGGGAAGCAGGGTGGAGGGAGGGGGGAAGCAGGGCATAGGGAGGGGGATGCAAGGCAGAGGGAGGGGGGAAGCAGGGCAAAGGGAGGGGGGAAGCAGGGCGCAGGGAGGGGGGAAGCCTGGCGGAGGGAGGGGGGAAGCAGGGCGAAGGGCAGGGGGAAGCTTGGCGGAGGGAGGGGGGAAGCAGGGCAGAGGGAGGGGGGAAGCAAGGCAGAGGGAGGGGGGAAGCAGGGCGAAGGGAGGGGGGAAGCGGGGTAGAGGGAGTGGGGAAGCCTGGCGGAGGGAGGGGGGAAGCAGGGCGAAGGGAGGGGGGAAGCTTGGCGGAGGGAGGGGGGAAGCAGGGCATAGGGAGGGGGGAAGCAGGGCGGTGGGAGGGGGAAAGCAGGGAGGAGGGAGGGGGGAAGCAGGGCTGAAGGAGGGGGCAAGCAGGGCATAGGAAGGGGGGAAGTTGGGCAGAGGGAGGGGGGAAGCAGGGCATAGGGAGGGGGGAAGCAGGGCAGAGGGAGGGGGGAAGCAGGGCGAAGGGAGGGGGGAAGCAGGGCAGAGGGAGTGGGGAAGCTTGGCGGAGGGAGGGGGGAAGCAGGGCGAAGGTAGGGGGGAAGCTTGGCGGAGGGAGGGGGGAAGCAGGGCATAGGGAGGGGGGAAGCAGGGTGGTGGGAGGGGGAAAGCAGGGAGGAGGGAGGGGGGAAGCAGGGTGGAAGGAGGGGGGAAGCAGGGCATAGGGAGGGGGGAAGCTGGGCAGAGGGAGGGGGGAAGCAGGGCATAGGGAGGGGGAAGCAGGGCAGAGGGAGGGGGGAAGCAGGGCATAGGGAGGGGGAAGCAGGGCATAGGGAGGGGGAAGCAGGGCAGAGGGAGGGGGGAAGCAGGGCAGAGGGAGGGGGGAAGTAGGGCGCAGGCAAAGGATAAGGGATTGCGGGGTAAACAGAGCTGGTGTATGAGAAATGGAGGTCGGTCAAATAAAAAGGGGTGTAAACACTCCGGGAAAATTGAGGTCGATGGGGAGAGGGAGTGAGGGAAGAACCCGCTCTCACCCATCGTCTCCCACTGTCTACCCTCCCCCCTCTGTTCCTCCCCCTCCATCCTCCCCCTTCTATCTTTCCCCCTCGGCCCTTCACGAGGGGAAGCGCGCGAGACCAGGGAGGATAGCGCGTATCGAGGGGAAACGCGCGTGCCAAGGGGAGGAGAGCGCGCAACGAGGAGAAGCGCGCGTGACGGGAAGGCGCGGGCGCGAGTGGCGGAAATGTGCGCGACGAAGCGATACGCGCGAGACGAGGGGAAACGCGCGAGACGAGGGGGAAACGCGAGTGACAAGGGGAAACGCGCGTGACGAGGGGTAACGCGCGTGCCGAAGGGAAACGCGCGTGACGAAGTGGAACGCACGTGACGAAGGGAAACGCGGGTGACGAATGGAAACGCATGACGAGGGGAGGCATTCTATCCTGGGCAGGCGCTAGTGACGAGGGCGGGCGCTAGTGACGAGGAGGAGCGCGACTGGCGAGGGGGAGCGCGGGTGACGACTCGAGCTAGACGTGGGGTAGAATGGTGTCGCACTCGTTTGGCTCATACGTTCCGTGTGAGTGTGGCGACAACGTTTGTAAAAATCTACAGCGATTCTAGGTTTGTGCTAGCTATTGACGAGACAGCATGAGTGACGAGAGTTGCCGTAAAAATCGCGGTCACGTGGTACTAGCTGATGACGCACTTGTCAGATTTATATGACATAGCTACTGTAGGCTATAGTGGGGTAGCATATATGGGGTACAGCTTTCTAGGGTTTGTACTTGTACCCAACTTTCCCTTAGTCATTTCATTCTCGTTCTCTTTTCTCATGGTATCGAGCAGGTTCCCTAGAGGGAACTGTTCCTAGGGCCCACCGACTTCTTCTTTCCTGCCCGGGGCGTGTCCCGCCCCTGCCCGAAGCGCGCTTAGGGTCGCGCCTTCCCTAGCGGCCCCGTCGCGTCGCCCTTAGCGGCCCGTCGCGCCGCCCTTAGCGGTTCCGTCGCGCCGCCCTTCGCGGCCGCGTCGCGCCGCCCCTTCGTGGCCCCGTCGCGCCGCCCCTTTTGCGGCCCCGTCGTACCGCCCTCAGCGGCCCGTCGCCGCCCACCCCCTGTGGCCCGTCGCCGCCCTTTCACCTGCGGCCCCGTCGCCGCCCTTACAGCGGCCCCGTCGCCGCCCTCCCCTTACAGCCCGTTGCCGCACTCCCCTTCCGGCCCGTCGCCGCCCTTACAGCGGCCCCGTCGCCGCCCTTACAGCGGCCCCGTCGCCGCCCTTACAGCGGCCCCGTCGCCGCCCTTACAGCGGCCTCGTCGCCGCCCTTACAGCGGCCCCGTCGCCGCCCTCCCCTTACGGCCCGTCGTCGCCCTTTCAGCGGCCCCGCCGCCTTCTTCAGCGGCTCCGTCGCCACCCCTGCAGCGGCCTCGACGCCGCCCCTTCAACGGCCCTCCCGCCGCCTCCTCTGCGGCCCCGTCGCCGCTCACTTCAGCGGCCCAGCCGCCCTTCGCGGCCCCGCCTTCCTAAACAGCACAGCCGACCAGCAGCCGAGCCGCCGAGCCGCCCAGCACCCGAGCCGCCGAGCCGCCGAGCCGCCCAGCAGCCGAGCCGCCGAGCCGCCGAGCCGCCCAGCAGCCGAGCCGCCGAGCCGCCCAGCAGCCAAGCCGCCGAGCCGCGGAGCCGCTCAGCAGCCGAGCCGCCGAGCAACCGAGCCGCCCAGCAGCCGAGCCGCCAAGTAGCCGAGCCGCCGGAGCTGAGCCGCTGAGCCGACCGAGCTGAGCCGCCGAGCCGCCAAGTCACCGAGCTGCCGAGCCGCCCAGTTGCCGAGCCGCCGATCCGCTGAGCCGCCCGAGCCGCCCTGTCCGGTAAGAGCAGCGCCTCTGTCACTGCACTGCCCTTACCCTACTGTTTGCGCTGCTAGTCTACTGCTGTCATGGCTACCCCTAGTGTCCTCGCTTTTGACGCTGAGGGTCGGGCCATTGACTTCGACGTCTGGGTAGATGACCTGCAGCTTTTCCTACAGTGCGATAGGGCAGACGGTCTCTTCCTCTTTGACCTCACCTCTGGTGCCTCTCCTGCCCCTGCTGCTGATGCCGACGCCACTGTTCGCTCACAGTGGGCCACACGCGATGCTGCTGCACGTCTTGTGTGGACATCAGCACAGCAAGACGTGCAGGTGGCGACGCACAGCAAGACGTGCAGCAGCACCGCGTGTGGCCCAAACAGTGTCTTGTAACCTGTTCTACATGAACAAGGTGGACATCTCAAGTCAAGCCACGGCCCCTATCCCTGTCCACACTAGCCCTAGGGGCATCAGCCTAACCGGTTTCACTTGTACCATATATATAATACACGCTGTCCTCTCCACGTGTCCAAACAGTGTCTTGTAACCTGTTCTACATGAACAAGGTGGACATCTCAAGTCAAGACCAACAACTGAGGCGTTCAGTCAGCTTCTTGCCGTGGCGTGGCCATCAGTCTCTGACGGTTGGGCGGAAGCAGCAGGCAAAGGAGGCAGCCCCACGGTGCTTCAGCACCTGCTCCTCCGGTTCCTGCCACCAGTGCAATGTGGCATGTGACACAATCAAATAGTGAGTGAATGGAGCATGTGGAAGGAACACAAAGAGAGGCAGAGTGGATGCCTACATGACATTCATGAGGCATGGTACTCTTTACGTGATGTGAACTTATGAATGTTGTGATCTCATCTGCTTATGACTCCACCCACACACCTCCCTTTCTCTTACCGAGTCATCATCATCCTCATCAGTCCGCCTGGTCTCGTGCTCCCGTCTGCCACCGTGCTTTCGCTTCCCCCCTGCGTCAGCACCTCCCGCCGTGCTCCCTCCCTCATGGGGCAGGTGCAGGGAAGGCAAGCACTGTGGCTGCTGCAAGCACTGCGGCCTGAAGTCCTCACTCTCTTGCCACTCGCCCTGCCGGTTCTGCACCCGCAGCCCCTGCAACACCTCCCCCTCCTCTTCCTCGCCACCCTCTTCCCAATCCCCAATCCTTTCCATACCAGGAACCGACTCCTCTGCACCTCTCAACCCATCCAAACCGCCACTTCTGCCAGCAGCAGAACTCTTTCCTGCTGCGCCCACTGCACCTGTCCTCGGGCCTTCACGGGTCGCTGAGGCGAGCTGAGAAGCTTCCCCAGCAGCTGGGGCAGCAGCACTGCCGATGGACACAGCAGGCCGCAGCCGAGCCCGAGCGGTCCCAGCAGCAGCGGCAGAGGTGGGGAGGATTGCAGGAGGGCGAGAGGAGGAGAGGGGAGGGCGGGAGGTGTTAGAGGAGCGGGAGAACTGCATCAGAGCGTCTCTGCGACGCCGCCTCAGAAGAAATTCGTCCACTGGTGGCACTGCCAGTGCTGCTGCTACTGGCGCTACTGCTGGTGGTGATTCTGGTAATGCTGCTGGTGGTGCTGCTGGTGCTGCTGGTGCTGCTGGTGGTGCTGCTGGTGCTGCTGCTGCTGCTGCTGCTTTTGCTGCTGGTGCTGCAAGCAGTGGATTACGTGTAGCAGAGGATTGCACATCGGGCACTTCTTGTTGCCGTGGCTGCTGCAGTGCCATATGCCGTTGTTGCTGCTCGTGCCGGGGCTGCTCTTGCTCTGCTGCTCGCCTCTGTGCCCTGTTCTCCGCTGCTGCTGCTGCTGCTGCTGCTTGCTGGCGCCAAGGCAGAGCTGCTGCTGAGTGCTGCTGTGGTGGGTCGAGCACAGAAGCAGGCACAGGGGCATCGAATGAGGCTAAAGGAGGTGGGGAGAGCGGAGCAGGGGGATGATTGGGAAGAGTGGCAGCAGCAACAGCAGTAGCAGCAGCAGCAGCCGCCGCTGCAGCACCAGCAGCCATTGCAGCAGACACAGAGGGAGCACTGCCACTCCCCTTGAGCATGACCCCTCCAGCTGCACTCTCTGACCCTTCCACCACCTCCACCCGTTCCTCCTCTGCCTCCCCCTGCCCCTCTCCCATCTGCAGCTCCTCTTCTGCTCTCCTCTCATTGCTGTTTCCCTTCACCTCCTCCTCCTCCCGAGGCTCATCCTCATTCTGCTCCTCCCCCTCTGCTCTCCCCAACGCCATCCCACCATCCACTCCGCCCAACGTATCCCCTGCGACCACGTCATCCTCCCTCACCCCAACCCGAGCGCTCTCAAGCTCATCCTTGCGCTCCACCCCTCTCGGATCACCGCTGCCCGTCTCCCTCTCCCCCACACCTTCCACTCCTTCCTCCGCCACATCTTCTGTCCCCCCAGTGCGTCTGCTGGCACTCCCACCGGCGCCTCGTGCAAAGAGACCAAACAGGCTCCTTCCAGGCAGCTTCCACTTGGCGTCTTCTCCAGAAGCAGCCGAGTCAGGAGCAGCAGCATCAGCAGCAGAGAGGTTGCAGGGAGAGGGTTCAGATGCTGTGGGGTCACAGGATGGGGCGTCAGGGTTCAGGATGGGAACAACAGCAGCGACCACGGCTGGAACTGCTGCTGGAATAATCCTCTCCTGCGGTATGCTTTCTTTCTGCTCCTCCTCTTCTGTCTCTTCCTCTTCCCTCCCCCCCTCCGCCTGTCGCTGCTCCTGCTGCACGGGCTGCGAGTAACCAGCAGCAGGCCGCTCAGCCACCACAAACTTATCCTCGCTCTCCTCCACCTCCACCTCCTCTGCCGCCATCCTCCCTCCCCCTAGCTGCTGGCCCAAGTCCTGCTGCTGCTGGTCCGGCTGCTGCTGCCCATCCCTGCCAACATTCCGGCCAATATCCCTGCTGGTATCCCTGCCCTCTGCTTCTTCTCTTCCTATTCCACCTCCTGTCTCTCCTCCACTGTCCGCCAGGCTGCGAGCGCCAGCAGCACTGGCAGCGGCGAAGGAAGGCCGAGCGGGCTGCAGGGAGAGGGAGCGGAGAGCGGAGCGGGGAGTGAGAGTGTGGAAGCCGCTTCGATGTGCTGTTGCACGCAGGTCAGCACGGGGAGAGGGTGAGCGCAGGCTAGCACGGGGGGAAGGAGAGCGCAAACTGCCACGGGGGGAAGGAGCACGCAAAGTGCCACGGGGAGAGGGCAGGTACAGGCCGGCACGGGGAGACGGCGACTGCATGGTATGAAGAGGCGTGTGAAAGCCGTCAGTGCCGCCCGGGCTGCTGAAGAAGCGCTGGTCAGAGCGCAGAGAGGCAGCAGACGGGGACTGGGCGCGCGGGGTGAAGTATTCCCGAGCAGAGTAGAGTGCTTCCGAGGCTGCAGAGGCAGGGGACTCGGGGGGAGAGAGGTGCGGCGTGGAGAGGGTCAGGGGGAACGGGGACGGGAAGGAGCGGGAGGTGAGGGAGAGGCGGGAGGGGGAGGGGGCGGAGGAAAAGGAGTAGGCGGGGGAGGGCGGAAAGGTGGGCGGGGTTTGGTAGCCGGCAATGGTGCTGGCTGTGTCATCAAAGGAGGAGGCAGCGTCATCGAAAGCAGAGGCAGTGCTGCGGAAAGAGGTGGTGCTTCGGAAGGAAGCGGAGCGCAGGGAGGAGGCGGAGCTGAAGCGATCCATGTGGGCGTCGTGATAGAGGTATGCAGAGGAGCTGTCAGAGGCACCGTCGTCCACCACATCCTCAATGTTCACTATGCCGCCCGTGCTGTCCATGCCACCCATGCCCCCCATGCCACCCATGCCACCCATGCCACCCATGCCAGCCATGCCAGCCATTCTGTCACTGCCGCCCATGCCGTCAACACAGACTCTATCCTCCTCGGTGCGTTGCTCATCCGTGGCGCCTTCAATGGCGCCACCAGGCCCGTCAACACCCACTCTGCTCTCACCACCGCCAGTCGCCCGCACGCCTTCACCGCTCCCAGCGCTCCCAGTGCTGTCAGCATCGCCTGTGTTGGCAGAGCCCTCCTCAAATTGACTGCATGCTGCCACCCCTGCTGCCGCTGCTGCTACCACCGCTGCTGCGGCTGCTGCTGCGGTTCCTGCTACGGTTGCTGCTGCAGGTGGTGGTGATGCGGTTGATAGGGGTGGTGAGTTGGAGGAGGCATGCGGGAGAGTATCGTGAGTAAGCGGCAGGGGGGGCTCAGGAGGGTAGGAAAGTGCAGGGAATGAGGCGGAGGCAGCAACAGGTGGGGAGGAGGTGACAGGCGCACAACTGTCGCTGGCACTGGGGGCAGCAGCAGCAGGAGTGGTGGCAGCAACAGCAGCGAGGGAGGATGTCTGAGGAGGCAAGGAGGGCGGTTGGCTGTGCAGGCTGGGGAGGTGCTGCTGCTGCCCCCTTGCCTCCTCCCCCTCGCTCTCATCCTCCTCCTCTCCCTTTCCTAGATCTCCACGACCCTCTGACCCCCCTGAATCCCCTGATGCACCCCGTGCATCCGCGAATTCCTCGCTCCCACTGCTCTCCGTCTCCCCCCCCTCTCTCGCCGCCACTGCTACATCTGCAGCACGAGCAGCCAAGACGGGTATGGCAGGCCCTGATCCTGCCTGCACTGTAGCTGCTTCTGATGACCTCGCCTTATCCCCCACACACCCCTCCTCCTCCCCACTCTCCTCCTCGCTCTCCTCCTCTTCCTCTTCATCCGTTTCCTCTTCCTCCTCGTCCTCATCCTCTTCCCCAGCATAGCTATCATCGTCCTCTTCCTCCTCCTCTGAATCATCCTCCCCCTCATCATCAGCGTCCGCCCCCAAATCCACCTCCCCCACACCCACCTCCCCCACACCCACCTCCCCAGCATCCACCTCCACCATGCTCCCCTCCTTACTGCCATCTCGCACCACAGTCACACGCCACACCCCATCCAACCCCTTCCCTTTCAATTTAAAAGCCTCCTTAAGAACTGCCTCGATATCCCGCTGCAGCTGACCCACGTCCAGCTCCTCTCCTCCCAAATCAAGTTTCATGTCATCTTCCGGATCAATTTCCACTACACCATCCTCATCACCCTCCACGTCAGCTTCCACATCACCCTCCACGTCAGCTTCCACATCACCCTCCACGTCAGCTTCCACATCACCCTCCACGTCAGCTTCCACATCACCCTTCACGTCAGCTTCCTTGTCACTAGAGCTCGCTGCCTCAGACACGCACTCCCCCGCTTCTCCGCCATCTTCCCTCCCATACTCATCCCCTCTCCCGTCGGCCTCTTCCTCTTCCTCCTCCTCCACAGCTTCCTCACCCCCCACAGCCACCCCCTCCACCTCTGCACTCCCCTCCTCCCCATCTCTCCCTCCTTCCCCTTGCACCATCACCCCCACTTCCTCTCCTCCTCCCTTCCGCTCCCCTTCACTCCTCCCCTCTCTCTCCTCATCACTCCCACTAAGCACAGCCCTTGAAGCCTCCAGCGCTTTCCCCAGATCTTCCTGCAACAGCAATACAGCTGCCTCAGTCGTTGAAACATCCTCTTCGTCACGCCTTCCCTGCCTCGCTCCGCCTTCCTCCTCCTGCCCCGCTTCCCTCGCCTCCTCTCCTGCCCACCTCCCTGACTCCTCATCCACCCCCCCTTCGGAGTGATTCTCTAAAACCTCCTGTCTAACTGCCTCGCTCTCTGCCTCTTCCCGTGCCTCCCCCTCTGCCTCTGCCCTTGCCTCTCCCTCTCCAACTCCCTCTGCTTCTATCTCACTATCTATCTCTGCCACTGCATTTGCCTCTCCCTCATCCTCTGTCTCTTCCGCTCCCTCTGCCTGCGCCTCGCCCTCGTCCGCGACCGCTGGCTCTGCATCTGCCCTTGGTGCAAACTCTCCCTGCATTTCGGTTCCTTCTGTGCTGCTCAGCTGCTCCGGCTGAGGCTCTGTCCACGTGGGATCATGCTCTCTCCATTCAGCTTCACGCTCTGTGTGCACTGCAGCAGCCATCTCTCCCCCACTCTCACTCCCACCCTCGCCCCCAGTCTCTCTCCCACTCTCGTACTCACTCACAACGTCTCTCTCCCCTTCACTCTCATACTTACTTGCAGCCCCCTCACCCTCACTCACAAACTCACCCTCCTCACTCTCATACTTACTCTCAAATCCCTCACCCTCACTCACAACCTCCCCGAATTTTTCACTCTCATATTTACTCTCAACCCCCTCACCCTCACTCACACATTTTCCCTCTCTTTCACTTTCATATCTCCTCTCAACTCCCCCATCCTCACTCACATCCCCACTTGCAACCTCGCTCTCACCGTCACTCACAACCTCCCCCTCATCCTCACTCTCATGCCCACTACCCGCTTCACCTGCAGCAGCCCCACTATCACCTGCACTCTCTCTCTCCTCACCATCTGCACCCCCCCCTCCACCTGCACTCCTCACATCATCCTCACTACCACTAGCACCACCTGCATCACCAGTAGGGGCAACAGCAGCAGCAATTGCAACACCACCAGCGGCAGCGGCAGCAGCAGCACCAGCAGCGGCAGCAACAGTAGCAGCGCCAGCAGCAGGAGGGGGAGAAGGGCTGTCAGTTGGGGCAGCAATAGTATCAATACAACTGCCAGCAACGTCAGCCTGGGAGCCGGGTGCTTCGGGAGCGGGAGTTTCGGAGGGGGGGGCTTCAGAGGTGGAAGCCTCGGAAGAGGGAGGTTCGGAGGCAGGAGGTTCGGATATGAGAGATTCGAAAGCAGGTTCTTTGAAGGCGGGAGCTTCGGAGGTGGGAGCTTCAAAGGTGGGAGCTTCGGAGGTGGGAGCTTCGGAGGCAGGAGCTTCGGAGGTGGGAGGTTTGGAGGTGGGAGGTTCGGAGGTGGGAGCTTCGGAGGCGGGAGGTTCGGAGGTGGGAGGTTCGGAGGCAGGAGCGGGGGGTTGAGCAGAGCGCCAGGAGGGGCGCCAGGCCATGGCGAGAAGGGACGACCACCCCCACTGCTGCTGCTTCTGAGGGCCTGCTGCCAACGGGGGCGCCGTGTGGGGAGGCTCTGTGGGGGGAGGCTCTGTGGGGGGAGGCTCTGTGGGGGGAGGCTCTGTGGGGGGAGGCTCTGTGGGGGCAGGTTCTGTGGGGGGAGGCTCTGTGGGGGGAGGCAGTGTGGGGGGAGGCCCTGTGGGGGGAGGCCCTGTGGGGGGAGGCCCTGTGGGGGGAGGCTCTGTGGGGGGAGGCTCTGTGGGGGGAGGCTCTGTGGGGGAGGTAGCCGTTGGGGTGGTAGCCGTTGGGGTGGTAGCCGTTGGGGTGGTAGCCGTTGGGGAGGCTGTGAGCGGTGAAGGCGTGTGGGAGGTGGTGTGGGAAGGTGCAGTAGGGGCAGGCGTGGTGGTGGTGGTGGTGGCGAGGGGCAGCGGCGCTGCCTGCTTCTGATGCTTGGCTGCCACTGGTGGGGTGATTGGGGGGATTGGGGGAGGGGCGAAGGGCGAAGGGCGAGGGGGGAGGGGAGAGGGGCAAAGGGAGAGAGGAGAGGGGAGATGGGAAAGGGGAGTGGAGAGGGGAGGGATGAACACAATCGCAGGGCATTGGTGCAAATACAGACAACAGCACAGGCAATAGCAAGGTGCAAGTTGGCCCAGCGGCACTCACACTTGGCTTCAAACATGGACGCCAGACCCTTCACTCGCCCATCCCGCACCCCACCCGCCGCTGCTGCTGCAGCAGCAGGAGCGGGGGACGTGGCACGAGTGGAGAGGTCATCAGGGCTAGTGTGGACAGGGATAGGGGCCGCCACAAAGGCTGTAGAGCCTTTCTGCTCCTGCCCTTGCTCCCCTCTGTTGCCCTCCTTCCATTCATCCTCCTCTTCCTCCACTCCCTCTCCCCCCTCCTCGACCTCCTCTACCTCCTCTCCCTCCCCTCCTTCCTCTCCCTCCTCTCCCTCCTCCCTCTCTTTCTCCTCTTCCACTTCACCGGAGCACACTGTCCGCAGGCCCAATCCAGCCACTGCAGGGGTACCTGCGCTGCTGGCGGCATCAGAGGAAAATTCCACGTGAGCATCATCTGCCACGTCCGCAAGACCTGCCACGTCACACCCAGCTGCCGATGCTCTCGCCGGTCCCGTACCTGACATATTCTCCCCATCTGAAGCAGAAGTAGTGGTACCAATGGCAGATGCAGCGGTGGCAGCAGCAGGGACAGCAGCAGCAGCGGTGGCAGCAGCAGCGGAGGCAGCAAGAGCAGAGGAGGCAGAGAGCGCAAAGCGGTGGCGGTGGGGGGAGATGGAGCGAGGCACGCCAGGGGGTTGCTGGGGGGAACGGGGAGGTGACGGCGAGAGAGCAGACATTTGCTGCGGGGAGAGAGGGGGAGAGTCCACCCTCCTTGCTGCTGCCTGTTGCTGCTGCTGCTTTTTTAGATCCGGGGACATTGGAGGGGAGGAGAAGAGCGCAAGGTACTGCTTGGAACGCAGGGGAGACAGGGGCCGAGGAGAGAGCGGGAGGGGAGGAGGGGCCTTGGGGCGGAAGAGAGGCATGTGGGGAGCAGATTCAGCAGAGACCGCTGGTGTCATGCTGCTTGCAACACTTGCACCCTCACTTGCACTGCTGCTGCTGCCACTGCTAGCATGGGCGATGGTGGTGCTGAAAGTAAGCTCAGCCTCCTCAATGCCACTGCCCATCCCCATGCCGCTGCCATCACCAGCTGCAGTGGCAACCATTGGCCTGGGCAATGTTGCTGAGGCAGGTGCTAACACGCCCGGTTCCACCAACAGAGAAGGAGCCTCCAAGGAGGTCGCAAGTGGTGTCACCGTCGCTGCTGTTCCCGTGGTGGCACCATCTGGTACCGCCACCATGGCAGGCATACTGCTCCCCTTCTCATCGCCCTCCCCACTCCTCTCACTTCCATTCACTCGCCCCTCTGCCCTGTCGGACTGGTCTGTCCCACTCTTCTCCTCCCTTCCCTCCACTGCCTCCCTACCGTCTGATTCCTCCCTCCTACCCTCCACTTCAGGCGAGCTGCCGCCCGCACCAGCCACTGCAGCAGCAAAAACCGCTGCTGCTGCTCCCACTGCCGCTGTGCCGGCAACCGCAACAGCAGGGGCAGCAGGGACAGCAGATGCAGGGGGTGCAAGAGAGGCAGTAGGCAGTGCTTCATCTCCCCCTCTGTCACCGCCTTCTCCTGTGTCTGCTGTACACACCACTGCTGCCCCTGCCCCTGCCACTGTGCCATCAGCAGCAGCAGCAGCAGCAGCAGCAGCAGCAGCAGCAGCAGCAGCAGCAGCAGCAGCAGCAGCAGCAGGCAGGGCTCCCTCTCCCTTGCTTCCACCTCTTTCCTCTCCTGTGTCGGCAGGCTCACAGGCAGGCACAGCAGCCAACAGCAGGGTGGCAGCAGGGTCAACGGGGTGAATGGAATCAACAGGACCAATAGGATCGATGGGGTCAACCGGGCCAGCAAAGTTGAAGGAGTCAACAGGGCAAACAGGGTCAACAGAGTGAGCATCACTGTTGCTGCTGCTTCTTGCTGCTGCTGTTGAGGATGATTCATCTTCAGGTGATTCATCTTCAGATTCATTTTCAGGTGATTCATCCTCAGGTGATTTTTCTCCAGGCGTTTGGCCAGGAGAGAACAATATGAGGGGTGATTCTGCCGTGCTGCTGCTGCCACTGTCGCCGCCGCAGCTGCTACTGCTGCTGCTCGCCATGCCATCACTGCTAGTGAGCGCTTGTTTCTCAGGCTGAGCAGGCGAGGGGGGAGAGATAGGCAGAGGAAGAGGCGGAGGAGGAGGGAGAGCCTTTGACGCTGGCTGCTGAGGCTCCAGCACAGGGAGTGGTGTGAGTATAGGCCGACGCGTAGCCGAGGGGATCCCACCTGAAGATTCACCTGAAGGTTCACCTGGTACTTTTTCAGAATCACTTGCAGGGTTTAAAGACGGTGGAAAGTCCAGCACAAGAAAAGGTGGCTGGGTGGGGAAAGGGTGGTCGGAATCCGCTGCAGAGGAGGCAGCAGCAGCAGGTGTGCCTGTGACAATGGGTGAGGAGGAGGAGGTGGAGGAGGAGGAGGGTAGGTAGCGGTCCGAGAGAAAGGATGGGAGTGAGAAGGTCTGGGAAGGAGGAGGAGCGGAGGAGAGTGAGGGAGAGCACGGAGGGGAGGAGGACGGGGAGAAGGCGGAGCGGGTGCGAGGGGAGGCGGAGGGGGAGAGGATGGGGAAGGCGCGGGGGGAGTAGGAGGTGCCTTCCGAGGCAGCTGCTACCACTGTGAGGGGGCGGAGGGCGCGGGGGCGCGAAGAGGGGGAGGGCATTGGGGGGGAAGGGGGGCGCCGGCGAGATAGAGTGCGAAGGTTGGAGGGGCGGGGGGAGGGAGAGGGGGAGAGCGGGGGGTGGGGAAAGGAGGGGGAAGAGGGACGGGGGAGGGAAGGGGAAGAGGGGCGGGAACGGGGGCTGGAGGGAGGGAAAGGGCGGGGCAGGGATGGGGGTTTGGAGGAAGGGGAAGGGGGAAAGGGGGAGTGGCGGGGGGATGGGGCGGGACAGGAGGCAGAGGAGGGAAAGGCAGGGCGGGGAGGTGAGGAAGGACGGACAGGGAGAGAAGGAATGGAGAAGGGAGCGGCAGAGAATACGGGGTGTGACATGGCAGAGGTGAGAGATGGCTGCTGGTGAGGCGGGTCAGACGGTAATGTAATGGCAGGCAGGGGAGACAAGGAAAGGGCAGCAGAAGGGGTAGAGGATGGGGCTAAGGAAGGAGCAGAGGAAGGAGCGGGCGTGGCAGCTGCTTCTGGTACTGCTGTTCTTAATGGTGCCACAACTGCCGGTGATTCTTCTTCTACTGTCACTGCTTCTGTTGTCACTGCTGCTGCTGCTGCCACTGCTGCTGTTGCCACTGCTGCTGCTGGCACAACTGTTGTTGCCGCTGCTGCCACTGGCACTGCTGCTGCAGAAGCAGATGGTTCCGGGTGGGCGGAGAAAGGCAGTGCGGCGGGCACGGGGTGGGGCGAGGGAGAGGGAGAGGGCGAGGTGGAGCAGGAGGAGGGCGAGGAGAGAGTGGCGATGACAGGCGGATCGCCTGCTCTCTCGCGCTCCTCCATGTGGCGGTCGAAGATAGACGCCAGTGAGGCCAGGGCGGTGTCGGTGTGAGCTGGCAGGGGCGATGGTGATGCTGCTGCTCGTTGCACCACATGCTCACACACACACGCGCCCAGACACACACACACACACACACACACACACACACACACACACACACAATGCGCGCGCGCACACACACACACATGCACACAAATAGACACACACATATCGGCACACACATATAGACACACACATACACACACACACACAGACACACACAGACACACACACACACACACACACACACACACACACACACACACACACACACACAAATCATGCAGGTGGCGTCATGAAGGACATAATGATACAAAACAGGTTCCAGGGCAACGGAAGGAGGCAAGCTGAAGTGGAACCAATGGGGGAAGTGGAAGTGTGGGAGGATAAGAGGTGAAGGGACGAGGGAGATCGCATTGGAGGAGCGAGAGGGCCGTGGGCAATAGACAAGGCATTGCTTACGTTGTGAGGTGACTGGAGTGGAGGCTCCTGAGGCACCGTCCGCCTGCAATGGCGGCGAGCAAGGGCAGTGAGGGACAGGAGGAGGGAGATGTGGCAGGAGCAGGGAGAAAACACAAGGCTATGAGAGGGGGCAGGATAGTCGCGCGGAACAGCGAAGGGCGTGTGATGAAGGGGGAGGGTGGTGGGGGAAGAGTGGTGAACGGAAGGGAAGGGGGATGAGGGTGGTGGAGGGTGGTAGAGAGGGTGGTAAGAGAGGGTGGTAAGAGAGGGTGGTAAGAGAGGGTGGTAAGAGAGGGTGGTAAGAGAGGGTGATAGAGAAGGAGCCCACCCCAAAGAGCATGGAGTGCACCGAGTCCTCAATCAGGCAATCCACTCGCTCGCCTCCCTGCCCGCCCTGCTCTGCCTCCTGCTGCCCCGCCTGCTCTGCCTCCTGCATTGCCACTCCTGCCAGCAGGTCTCCAGCTGCAGCATCCTCTGTGTGGGCTTTGGCAGCGCTGGGGGCATCACAGTCACGCCCATCAAGAGCATCGTGATCGAGAGCAGTCGAGTCGGCAGAGTCAACAGAGTCAGCAGATTCAGCAGAGTCAGCACGCCAGAAATCCACAGTGGGGGGGGAGGAATCGCCGAGGGCGCCTGCAGCCGTTGCAGAAACACTCCCCCACCCGCCAGCAGCAGCAGCAGCGGCAGCACTGGCAGCGCTGGGGGCAGCGAACCCGAAGGTTGGTGAATCCGGGGTGAATGTGGGCGAGTCCGTGCTCAGGTCACCCAGAACGGCAGCAGCAGCGGCTGTGGCAGCAACAGAAGTGGGGCTGGCAATGGCAGGAGTACCGGTGAGCCCAAAGGTGGGGGAGTCGGGAACTAAAGTGGGGGACCCAGCATCACTGATGCGAGGAGAGGACGAGGCGGGGGAATGAGGGGAGATGGGGGTGGGGGAAGGAGGGTAGGCGGAGTTTGGGTGATGGGTGGAGCTCTTGTCTTGAGGGAGAGAGGAGATGGCAGCAGATGCAGCAGCACCGACAACGGGAGAGCCGATGGATGGGGATGCCGCATCGAGGGAGAGCGATGGAGATGCAGCATTGGTTGAGAGGGATGGGCATGTAACATCCACGTTAAAGAGTGACTCGCTGTGAGAAGCAGCTTCGGTACTTGGGAAGGAGGAGATGCCAGTAGTAAAAGCGTGTGAGGTGTCGGCGTCTTCTGATTGGTCTGCTGGCTGCCAGGTGGGCAGCTGGGAGGAAAGGGCGAATGGGGATGGAAGGACAGTGGGGGAGTAAGGGATGGAAGGGCAGTGGGGAGAGTGAGGGATGGAAAGGGGTCAACTGGCAATTTGCGTAGGCTGTCAGGGAGCAGAATAAACGGATGGACGAGCGATGGGAGCAATAGCCAGGGGCAACTTGAGACTCGGAGAGGAGAGTGGCAAAAGGAAGACTGTTACACGTGCGCAGGGTGTAACGGCCAGCCACCGACCATTGCAAGCACATCGAGTACTAGCGGTCTGCTCGCATTGCTTGCAATGCGGGTGAGCTTATAAAGTAAATAGAGTGTACGAGACCAGAAGCGGCAATGAGGGAGCAAAGGTGCGGCGGGCAGGTCCAGTCCCCACACTCACCTTGTCAGCTGATTGCAGAGGCTCCAGTGCCCCGGGCACCACTCCTGCTGCTGCTGCCGCTGTTGCTCCTGCTGCTGCTGCCGCTGCTCCTGCGCCCGCCACTGCTGCTGCTCCTGCTGTGCTGTGCCTATCATGCCTCGAGTCATCCTCTGCCGGCACCCGCCTCTCTACATGCCCCACTTGCTGTGCACCCCCTCCGCATTCAACCTGCCCCTCATCCTGTCCCACCCACTCCTCGCCCTCTTTACCAGGTCTCTGGGAAACCACACCACCATCGCCCTCACCCGCCTCAACCCCCTCTGCACTCCCCTCATGTCGAACCAACTCTCCCTCTTTACTCTCCCCCTTCTCTCCTTCCTCTCCCTTCTCTTCATTCTCCCCCTTCTCTCCTGCCCCTCCCTCCTCTTCATTCGCTCCCTTCTTTCCCTCCTCTCCCTCCTCTTCACTCTCCCCCTTCCCTGCATGCTCTCCCTTCTCTTCACTCTCCCCCTGCTCTCCCGCCCCTCCCTCCTCTACACTCTCCGCCCTCTCTCCCTCTCCTTCACTCTTCCCCACCTCGCTCTCGCCAACCCTCAAGACAGCTGCTGCAGGAGGAGGAGGAGGAGGGGGAGGGAGGGCAGGCGGAATGCTGGAGACAGCAATTCCAAAGGTGGGAAACTCCGGAATGAATGCTGGGGAATCAGGAGCAGGCGAAGCACTCCCTTCCTTCTCTACCTCTTGCTTCTTCTCACTCCCCTCCTCCGCCTGTAGCACCGCCTCACCGCTCTCAATATACTGTTCCACCTGCCGTCTCTCACTTGCCCTTGAATTTTCTGTCACATGCCTCTCACTCCCTGCCTCCTCTCCCTTGCTCCACACACCATTCCCCCCTGCATGCTCATCCCTTGAATCCTCCTCCTCATATTTCTCTCTTTCCTCCACCTCACACTCCCCGATCTCTCCATCCACTTCACTCACCTTGCCTTCATCCTCTTCTTTCCGCGTTTTACTCTCCCTCTCCCCTCCCACTTCCCCTTTCCCTTCACTCTCTTTCTCCAGTCCCTCCCCTTTCCTCCCATCTCCCTCGTCGTCCCTCCCCTCTCCCTCCTCCTTCCTCCCCTCTCCCACCTCTTCTCTCCCCTCTCTTTCCTCTTCCCTCCCTTCTCCCTCCTCCCTCTCTCCACCTTCTCCTTCTGCACTTCCTTCTTCCCTCTCCTCCATTTCTCCCTCTTCCCGATCCCCTTCACTCTCCGACCCCTCTCTCCCTCCCCTTGCTGCCTCGGCCCCCATCTCCTCCCTATCCCCCTCCCGCAACTCCAGTGCATCTCCAACCGGAGACAGCCTTCCCCCTCGCTCAACCGCATCCTCAACACGTGCTGTGGCGCCATCACCTATCGAGCTGTCCGCCCCACCACCCAGAGAACCATCAGCACGCTGCATCGCCTCCATCACACTCGCTGTGCTCTCACCAACCACCAAGCTCTCCCCCTCACCACCCACAGGGCCGTCCCAACCCACCCCCGCTTCTCTCTCCAGTTTGACTTCAAGGTCATTCCGTCGCTCCTCATCAGTCCTATGCTCCGCCCTGCCTCCCACCTGCGCACCACCTGCCTCACCCTCTGCTCTTCCCCCCACCTGCGCCTCACCCTCCACCCTTCCCCCCACGTGCGCCCCACCCTCCGCCATGTTCCCCACGTGTGTCCCACCAACCCCGCCCTCCGCCTTCCCCCCCATGTGCGAGCGCAGGAACGTGACGAACTGCAGCTTCCTCGCCGCCCGCTGCATGCGCTGCCGCGCGTTCGGACTCACACCGCTCTTGGGCGTCGTGGGGGGGCTGAGGGGGGTGTGGGGCGCGTGCGGGGCGTGGGGGACGTGGCTGTGGGGGGCGTGGGGCCTGGCCAGAATGGGAAGAACAGAGGCAGCAGCTGCAGCAGTGGAAGCAGCAGCTGCAGCAGCCACAGCGGCAGCAGCAGGCGATACCGGTTGTGCGGTTGTATGCCCCTCCACCCCCACCTCTCTGCCTGACACCCCCACCCCGTCATGCCTCTCCATCTCCCCACCCTCCCGGTCCACGCCCAGCCCAGCAAGCTCCCCCTCCACAAACATGTCCTGCACCGCCTCCCTCTCTTCAGCACTCCCCACTGCCAGCCACCCTGCATCACTCCCCACTACCGCCCTCAGCCCCTCAGTCCTTACTGCGTCCTTCTCCCCCTCAATCTTCACTGGCCCACTTTCTTCCTCCACGCCCAGCCCAGCAAGCTCCCCCTCTACAAACATATCCTGCACTGCCGCCTTCCCTCCACCACTCGCCACTGCTGCCCCCACTCCCTCATTCTCCATTTTCCCACTCCCTTCCTCCACGCCTAGAGCAACCAGCTCCCCCGCCACAAACATGTCCTGCCCTGCCGCCCTCTCCCCTGCCCTCTTCTCTCCCTCGCTCTCCACTTTCACACCCCCTTCCTCCTTCACGCCCAGGGCAACCAGCTCGCCCTCCACAAACATGTCCTGCTTCTCGCCTCTCTCACTCTCACTCGCCGCTCGCATTCTCACTCCCTCGTGCTGCACCGCCCATTCCTCTCCATCCCTCTCCACTGTCCCACTCCCGTCCTCCACCCCCAGGCCAGAAAGTTCCCCCGCCACAAACATGTCCTGCCCTGGCCCCCTTACTGCATTTCCCTCCTCCACTGCCGTACCCACTCCCTGATTCTTTACTGCCCGCCTCTCTTCATCCCTCTCTACCGCCCTGCTTTGTACTTCCATGCCCAGGGTAATCAGTTCCCCGCCCACAAACATGTCCTGCATTGCGGTGCTCCCTTCATCACTCCCCACTGCCGCCCTCACTCTATCACCCGTCCCTACTGCCCATACCCCTTCACTCGCATGTGCCATCTTTTCCCCCTCGCTCTCCACTTCCCTGCTCACTTCCGCTGCACCCAGAGCAACTAACTCGTCCGCCACAAACATATCCTGCACTGCCGCCTTCCCTCCATCACCCTCCACTGCAGCCGCCCGCACTCCCTCGCTCTCCACTTCCCTGCTCCCTTTCTGCACCTCCAGAGCAGCCACCTCGTCCGCCACAAACATATCCTGCACTGCCACCCTCGCTGCATCACCCTGCAATGCCGCCCCCACTCCCTCATTCGTTGCCGACCCCTTCTCTCCCTCACTCTCCTCCACTTCCCCACTCCCTTCCTCCTCCTCGCCCACAGCCGCCAGTTCGTCTGCCACAAACATGTCCTGCACTGCAGCTGCCGCCCTCCCTTTATCACTCTCCACTGCCGCCCTCGTTACTTTACCCCCCACTGCTGTCCCCACTCCCTCACTCTCCACCACCTCACTCCCCTCCTCCACGCCCTCAGCCGCCAGCTCCTCTGCTACAAACATGTCCTGCACTGCCCCCGCACCCTCCCTACCCCCGTTCCTCCCCCTATGCTGCTCCCCCTCACCCGCTGCATCCACAGCTGCAACCAGGCCACGAGCACTCTCACCATCGCCGTCATCGTCGTCCCAGGGAGCCTGCAGGGCGGGTCTGCTGTGCGGCGCAGCAGCAAAGACTGGACTCAGCACTTCCAGCACTGCTGCACTCTCTGGTACTTCAGCCCTGCAGGTGGCATGGCTGGCAGCTGGAGTGGCATGAACGTCAAATTGAGTTGAGCTGCCATGCTCACACTCACCGTCCTCCTCGCTGCTCTCCTCCCCGTGTGCTTCACCTGCCTGTTCCAACTCCGGCCCTTCACCTGCCTGTTCCAGTTCTTGCCCTTCCTCAACACCTGATGCAGCAGCAGAGGCAGCCCAGGAAGTATCAGGTGCAGCATCAGCAGCAGCAGCAGCATCAGCAGCAGCAGCAGCAGCAGCAGCAGCAGCACCAGCAGCAGCAGCAGCATCAGCAACAGCACCAGCACCAGCAGCAGCATCAGCATCAGCATCAGCACCAGCACCAGCATCAGCATCAGCACCAGCAGCAGCATCAGCATCAGCACCAGCAGCAGCAGCAAAATCAGCACCAACAGCAGCAGCAGCAGCAGCAGCAGCAGCATCAGCATCAGCACCAGCATAAGCACCAGCAGCAGCATCAGCATCGGCATCAGCCGCAGCAGCTGCCGCAGCAGCAGTAACAACAGCTGCAGCGGCGGCAGCAACAGCATCAGCAGCAGCAGCGGCATCAACAGCAGCAGCAGCAACAGCATCAACCAGCCTCCTTACATGTTCTCCATGACTATCAGTCTCACTCTCATCCTCGCTCACATTCTCACTCTCACTCTCACTCCCAGTCTCACTCCCACCGTCCGTCTCACCCCACCCGCTATTGTGCCCCCCACCTTCCTTCTCCTGTTCAATCATCTCCCCTGCATCCCCTTGTCTCTCTCCACTTCCCTCACTCCCACTCTCCTCCTTCTTGCTTTCAATCCCACTCTCTTCTCTCTCACTCTCATTCGCACTCTCCTCTCTCTCACTCTGACTCTCGCTTTCTTCACTCACACTCCCATTCTCACTCTCACTCTCTACACTCTCACTCTCACTCTCCTCACTCTCACGTCCCTCAGTCTGGCCCAACTTACTCGCACTCTCCTTGTCCTTAATCTCCCCACCCTTGGTCTCCTCGCTCTCACGCCCCTCACCCTGTCCCTGCCCCACACCACCCACAGAAGCAGCCACCAGTGCAGCTGGCGCTGCTGCTGCATCATCATCCAAGCACCGCTCAGAACTGCACTCTACCTGCGCCTCCATTACGTTCTCACCTCTGTATTCACTCTCACTATCACGCCCTTCACTCTGTTCCTCACCCACACCACCCACGGCAGCAGCCGCCGGTGCAGCTTGCGCTGCCACTTCATCGTCATCTAAGCACCCCTCCGTACCGCACTTTACCTGCCCCTCCACTCCGTCCTCATCGTCGCTGTCACTCTCACTCTCGCTCCCCTCACTCTGTCCCTGCCCCTTACCACCCACAGCAGCAGCCATCGATCCAGAAGGGGGAGCTGAGCTCTCCATACCATCCAACGTCCCCTCCTGCCCATGCTCCACCAGCACTTCACTCTCACTCTCACTCCCACTCTCACTCTCACTCTCACTTTCAGTCCCCCTCTCACTCTCCCTCTCACTCTCACTTCCACTCTCCTCACTCTCACTTCCCTCACTCTCGCTCAACATACTCCCACTCTCCTTATTCTCAATCTCCGGAACCTTAGTCTCCTCAGTTTCACTCTCCCTCTCCCTCTCCCTCTCACCTTCCATCTCACTCTCACTTTCACTCCCCTCACTCTGTTCCTGCTCCACACCACACAAAGCAACCATCGGTGCAGCTGCTGCTGTGATTCCAACACCGTTCAAGAGCCCCTCCCCCTCCTTCCCATGCTCCACCTTCCCGTCCCCTTCTTCCACACTCTCAATATCACTCTCACTCTCACTCTCACCCTCGCTCCCCTCACTCTGTTCCTGCTCCACACCACCCACAGCAGCAGCCACCAGTGCAGCTGGCGCTGTCGCTTCAACACCCTTTAAGGACCCCTCCTCATACTCCACCTGCCCTTCCTGCCCCTCCTCATACTCCACCTGCCCTTCCTGCCCCTCCTCTCTCTCACCCTCAACCCCACTCTCACTCTCCTCACTCTCGCTCTCGCTCTCGCTCCCCTCTCTCTGTTCCTGATCCCCACCCACCGCTGCAGCTGGTGTGGTCGCTCCAGCACCCTTTAAGGTCCCCTCTTTCTCATGCTCTACCTGCCCTTCCTTCCCCTCCTCTCCCTCACTCTCACTCTCACTCTCCTCACTCTCACTTCCCTCACTCCCGCTCAACTTACTTCCACTCTCTTTATTCTCAATCTCCCCAACCTTAGTCTCCTCATTCTCACTCTCGCTCTCACTCCCACTATCCCTCTCAGTACCCTCACTCTCACTCTCACTCCCCCCACTCTCTTCCCGCTCCACACCACCCACTCCACCCATCGGTGCAGCCACTGTTGTGGCGTCAACATCAGCCCAAGGCTCTTCCTCCTGCTTTCCATGCTCCACCTTCCCTTCCCCTCCCTCCGCACTCTTATTCTCACTCTTACTCCCAGACCCCTCACTCTCACTGCCCCCACCCTCTTCCCCCTCCACAACACCCACAGCAGCCTTCACCGGTGGTGCTGCTTCAACACCCTTCAAACACCCCTCTCTCTCACACTCTACTTGCCCTTCCATTCCCTCGTCCCTCTCACTCTCACCCTCCCTCTCACTCTCACTCTCTCCCTGAGTCCCCTCATTGTCACTCTCTCCCTCACTCCCCTCACTCTCACCTTCTTTCTCCCTCTCCTTTTCCTCACCCTCACTCTCACTCTCACTGCTCTCACTCTCACTGCTCTCACTCTCACTGCGTTCACTCTCACTCTGTATCTGCGCACCAGCACCACCCACAGCAACCCTCACTCCAGTCGCTGTTGCCTCGTTCCCGCCACCCACGGGTTCCACCCACTGCTCCTCCCTCTCCTCCCTCTCCTCCCTCTCCTCCCTCTCCTCCCTCTCCTCCCTTTCCTCCCTCTCCTCCCTCTCCTCCCTCTCCTCCCTCTCCTCCCTCTCCTCCCTCTCCTCCCTTTCCTCCCTCTCCTCCCTCTCCTCCCTCTCCTCCCTCTCCTCCTTTTCCTCCCTCTCCTCCCTCTCCTCCCTCTCCTCCCTCTCCTCCCTCTCCTCCCTCTCCTCCCTCTCCCCCCTCTCCTCACTCTCCGTCCCTCCCTCCTCGACTTTCTCCCCTGCCTCCTCACTCTCCTGCTGTTCCTCCTCGAGTCTACCCCCTCTCTCCTCACCCTCTCCCCTCCTTTCCTCACACCCGTCCCTGACACTGCCACCCCCTGCCCTGCTGTTCTCACTATCGTTTGTCCTAGAATTCCCCCCTTCCTCACCACCACCACCATCAGCACCAATACTAGCACCAACCAGACCACCTAAAGCACCAGGGGCTCTAGTACTCTCTACCTTCTCCCCTCCTTCCTCCCCTCTCTCCTCATCGCCCGCCTCCCCTTTCCCCGCCGCGCCCTGTGCTTCTGTCTCCTCCTCTTGCTCCGTCCGTTCATCGTCCTCGCTTTCCTCCTCTTCCTCTCGTTCCTCCCCCGCAGCCAGCTCTCTCCCACCCTTCTCGCCATCAAGCCCTGCCCGCCCGTCCCCATCCACTGCTCCCTCACTCTCCCCACACCCTTCATGCCCCCCGTCTTGCTCCCTTTGCTCCCTTCTCTCACTCTCGGTTTCACTCTCACTCTCACTCTTACTCTTAATTTTACTCTCACTTTCACTCTTTGTTTCATTCTCACTCCCACTCTCGGTTTCACTCTCACTCCCACTCTCGGTTTCACTCTCACTCTCGCTCTTATTTTCCCTCTCACTGTCATTCTTACCCTTACTCTTACTCTTATTCTTACTATCACTCTCACTCTCACCCTCACTCTCACTCTCACTCGTACTCGTACTCTTACTCTTATTCTCACTTTCACTCTCACTCTCACTCTCACTCCCACTCTTACTTGTACTCTTACTCTTACTCTTACTCTTACTCTTACTCTCACTCTCAATTTCACTCCCACTCTCACTCTCACTCTCACCCTCACTCTCCCTCTCCCTCGTACCCTTAATCTTACTCTCACTCTCATTCCTAGTTTCACTCTCACTCTCACTCTTATTTTCACTTTCACTCTCATGCTTAATCTTACTCTTACTCTCATTGTCACTCTCACCCTCACTCTCACTCTCACTCTCACTCTTGCTCTTACTCTCAATCTTACTCTTAACCTTAGCCTCACTCTCACTCTCACCCTCACTCTCACTGTCACTGTCACTCTTACTCTTGATCTTACTCTTACTCTTACTCCCACTATCACTCTCACTACTTCCCACCTCACTTTCAGCATCCGTCATACTAGTCTCGTCACTCTCACTGTCCTCACTACTAGCTTCCTCACTACCAGCGTCCTCACTATTGGCTCCCTCAAGCAGCCCACTGCCATCGCTATGAGCCTCAACGTTCCCTCTATTCTCGTTACTAGCTTGCTCGCTGCTGCCACTATCATCGCTATCCACCTTCTCGTGTTCACCTAGCTCTGTTTTGCAACTTCTCCATATATCCTCGCTATCAGAGTCATCCGTATTTGGATTATAAACATTATCCATCCCCATACCATCCCGTAACACCCCACCATCCCGCATCACCCCACCATCCTGCGCCACCACCCCCACACCCCCATCCCGTAGCCCACCCCCACCGTCGCCCCACTGCGCTGCTCGGAACGCAAAGTCACTGTCATGGTCAGCCGCTCCCTTCCCTTGGCCCCTGCCCTCCACGCTCCTGCTCCGCGCATCACCACTGCTCGCCCCTCTTTCCAAAGCACGCTCCTCATCTTCTTCCCCTTCCCCATTCCTCACGCCTTCCCGTTCCGCCTCCCCTGCTTCCTCTTTCCTCCCTTCCTCTGCTTCCCGCTCGTCTCCCTCCCCTGCGCGCTCCTGTCCCCCCCAGCCCTGCGCCTCTCCCATGCCCCCTCCTTCATTCTCCCCGCCTGCTGCCTTCTCCTCACCGCCCGCTCTTCCCTCCCCCTGCTTCGTCCCATCCCCTTCCCCCGTCCCCTCCCCTCCCTTCCCCTTACCGCCGTCCCCCCACATCCTGCCTCCCTTCCACGCGAACGGGGACAGCAAGCTCAGCCCGCCCGCTCTACCTGCACCATCCTGCCCCTTGCCCGCCTCCCCCTTCCCCTCTTCCGCCACGCCCGCCTCCCCCCCGCCTGCGCCCAGCAGCAGGCCCGCCCACCCGCCCAGCCAGCTGGGGGACGCGGGGGCGGACTTGGGCGTTCCGAGGGCGCCTGCTGCCGCTGCTGCTGTCCCGTCACGCGCTTGCTCTTTCGCTTGACCTTGCGCCCGCGCCTCTTGCGCCCCCGCGAGCACATCACTCCGCGCAGCCTCGCCCCTGGCACCGACTGCGCCCACCTCGCTCCCTTCCTCCCCCACCCTAGCCTCACTACCTAAACCCGCCCCACTCCGCCGGCTCTCTTCCCCCGCGCCACCGCTATCACGCAGCTCTGCGCCTGTTCCCCCGTCTCCGCCGACCCTCCTCACCACTGACCTTTCGGCAGGTCCGACTGCGGCGCCCCCGCCTGGACTCCCCTTCCCCAGCCGCAAGGGCCTGAGCGCCAATCCCGCCTCCCCGCCCCCACCCTCTACAAGCGCGCCAAGCCCCCCAATCGCGCTTCTGCGCGGACTGCCCAGGGGACTGGCGGGCCTGGCGGCGGGGGCGGGCGATCCTAAGGAGGAAGTATCGGGAGGGGAGAGCACTCCGGAGCGGTGGGAGAAGCTGCGGTGCCCCTGCCGCACTCGACGCGCGCTTCCGCTTCCGCCTGCGCCGCCCTCCCCGCCGCTGCTGCTCTCCCCGTCGAAGTCGTAGCTCATGTGCAGCCGGCGCCGGCTGATTTGCGCGGACGCGGACGACGGGGAGAACGGCGGAGGCGTGGGGGAGAAAGGGGAAAGCGCGGGGGATAAAGGGGAAGGCGAGGGGGAAAGCGACGGGGAGGGGGAGGTGGCAGCCCCGTCGTCTGTCGCGTCTGTTCCGCCCTTGCCGCCGCGGTCGGCGCTCGTCGTGATGCGCAGCATTGCGACGCGCCCCTAAACGATTCGACCTTGCGTTAGGAACGCTTGATTTTAATGCGTTCGTAGCACGACGCGGCACGCAAACCAGCTCTTTTTGTCCGAACGGCTTCAACCTACCAACTGGCGGCTTCACTACTGGTTGATCGCGTATCCTATTAAGTCTAGCACGTCGGCAATAGCACGAACGACTGCAACATTAATGAGGCCCGCGGGCTTGAATCGACCCGCCGCATAAGGCCAGGCCAGCTCCGTCCGACCCAGTATCGTGCGCGCGGCGCACATGCGAATGCTGCTGCCTTTCTTTCTAATCGCTGTCTGCTTCTCTCTATGTACCACTTCCTCTCGCTCTCTTTACAACCTCCCAGTATCTCTCTGTATCTCTCTATATCTCTATATAATTCTCGTTCGCTCGCGCCCTCGCAGCGCAGAGCTGCTTACATCCCACCCACCTACCCTCCCAGCCATAACCATGGCCTGAACAAATGCGTGCAGTTGTATTTTCCAGCTGCTTGGTTTTCCATTCATGTTGCCCAAGAGGGAAGGGCGCCAAGCCAACAAACAGTGCCTGTTCGTTGTTGGTTCGATGCAAGTCTGGAAGGAAAGCACGTTCGCACGCACACGAAAGCCCCTGCCGTGGCGAATCGAGGCGACCCCACGATAGGCAAGGCGCTGCGCGCAAGACCTCGCAATTTTTGCAAACCCATTCCCTCCTCGCACGCATGGGTTTTTTTTTCCGCCGTGTGTGACAAGCACAGTAGGCAGAGGCCTCTATTCACACCGAGTGTGGAGCTTTTTCTAAATCAGAACAGGCCCCTCCCAATGAATGAAGTGAGGTCGTCCATCAGCTCACGTCTGACATTCGCGTATCTCTGTTACAAGTGCAGTGGAGGGTATTGAGGATTTCGCTAAGGGCGGGTCCAGTGCGTACGTTTACAGGTACTTAACAGTTCATCCGTCGTTCGAGATGATATCAGCTGGTGTACAGCGGATATTAATCTTCACCGCTTTGCACCACGAGGCAATAAGACTATCGCACAGGATGAACTGTAGAGCAACCGAAAACGTACGCGCTCGACCCGCCCTGAAAGGGCAAATGATGAAGACAATACGACAGAAGGCAAAGTGTAACGCGGGCTTGTGTTACGAGTGCAATTGAGCGAGCGAGCAATTGAAGCAAAACAGTACATTGAGCGAAAGCATGAGCGAATAATATATAGCGAAGCTACAATGGTAACGGTAATGTGTGAAATTGGGGTGCGCTACGGGCCTAGCACCGAGGCTGGGAATTGTCAAGGCGGGGGTCTGGAGCGTGGGCAACCAACCGAACCGTGAGGTTGGGTCGCGTCGTGAACAGTGGCGGGAACAGTAGTCGGGGCGTGTTTCGCGTTGGAAACGATGCACTGTTGAGAGTTGTTGGCAGGAGCAGTGGTGTACGTGCTGAGTAGGGATGCGAAGTATGTGAAATAATGAGGAATGATGGACTAGGAAATGAGTTGGGTACAAATATGTAACCCTAGAAAATTGTAGCTCATACTGTCTACCCCACTACAGCTTAGAAAGACTAAAGCATAAATGTTTGACACACCCCCATAGGCAAAGTGGGGGAGAACAAGGGGTCACAAGACCAGTCAAGCAAGGTAAGCTCAGGATGGATCACAACGTCACCACACATTCCGAGCACAAGTTCAAGGCCACAAGGCCAGTTCACATGCACGATTATATATCAAGGTAAACAAGCAAATGCAGGTATAGATAGATCACAGTACAAACAAGGTCAAGAAGTAAGCAAGTGATGTGAAAGAAAGAACGAGAATGGATTGAACTATGAATGAAGTGAGTACAAATATGAAACCCTAATTGGGTTGTACCCCCTATGGGATACCCCACTATAGCCTACACAACAGCATAAGCTATAATGTTCTAACACACCCCCATAGGCAAAGTGGGGGAGAACAAGGGGTCACAAGACCAGTCAAGCAAAGCAAAGCAAAGCTCAGGGTGGATCACAAAGTCACCACACATTCCAAGCACAAGTTCAAGGGCCACAAGGCCAGTTCACATGCAAGATCATATATAGAGATATACAAGAGTCAAGCAAACAAGAGCAAGAGTATATATAGGTCAAGGTACAAGCAAGGTCAAGAAGTGAGCAAGTGAGGCAAGAGAGGCACAAGACCCAGCTGCGTGCAGCAACGCTGATGATCACAAGGCGCAAGTGCCTTGGTGAAGACATCAGCAGTGTTGGCCTCAGAGGCCACGTACGCAAGTCGCAACTGTCCACGCTGCTGTAGCTCACGAGCAAGAAAGTAGCGGAGAGCAATGTGCTTTGTCCTGTGCTCCAGTCGCTGCTCTCGACACAAGGCCAGCATGGCCTTGTTGTCTACGTACAGGACTGGAGGAGAACGAGGCGGCTCTCCAAGGTCGGTCAGCAGGTAGGTGAGCCAGCGAAGCTCCTGAGCAGCCATAGCCCCGGCGTAGATCTTAGCCTCACAACTGGAGCCGAGAACAAAAGACGAGCGGGTAGCCCGCCACGAAACAGAGCCGGAACCAAGGCTGAAGGTGTAACCCTGTGACGACCGCTGCGTAGCCTGGTCGTCAGCCCAAGAAGCGTCCGCGTGCCCTGTGAGGACCACTGGACTGCGCCCTCCAAGCACTAGCCCCATGCCCGACGTACTGCACAAGTAGTGCAACACCCTCTTCGCTGCAGCCATGTGCTCTGGTCGGTGTCTCCCGGGAGCAACATAGCGTGCAAGAATGCTAAGAGGGTATGCAAGGTCAGGTCGTGTGCAGGTCATCAGGTACATGAGGCAGCCAACAAGCTCTGCATACAGGCCACTCGACTCTACGGACTCATCCGAAGGCAGAGCTGAGAGCGAGTGACGAGTAGGCAGAGGAGTGGCCTGAGGCGAGGAGTACGTGAAGCCGAAGCGCTGAAGGACCTGCTGCACCATGTGTGACTGAGTCAGGGTAATGGTGCGGCGTGCTCTGTCCCGGGTGATCTGCAAGCCAAGGTAGCTACGCAGTTCACCCAGGTCAGTGCACGTGTGTCTCTTCTGCAGCTCGGACTTCATGTGCACGTGTGTCTCTCCGGCCTGGAGACCCTGGGGTGGAGGTTGATCTGATGCGCCGCGTACCTGACCGCAAACGGCCACAGAAAATGGGGGGCAGCCGCATGCATCATAGACGTACGAGCGACGTCCATGACCATGCCAATGCGGCGCTCTGCAATCCCATTTTGCTGCGGTGAGTCCGGAAGCGTGAAGGTCTGGCGGATGCCTCGCGCACGACAGAAGGCACGCAGAAGGCCAGAGGAGAACTCTCCGCCTCTGTCCGAGTGCAGACGCAACACAGGAAAGTCCGAGCCAAAGCTCTGCCTGAGTCGGAGACGAGCTGCGCGGATCCAGTCGATCAGCACCTCAGTGACATCACCCTTGCTGCGCAAGGGGAAGACTGTGGTGTAACGCGAGTAGTCGTCAACCACTAACACGAAGTAGCGCTCGTGACCGAGTCCACGGACGCGGGCAGGGCCCCACACGTCCATGTGAAGTGTCTGCAACGGAGCCTCTATCGGAGGAAACTGGGAGGAGTGAGGGGCAGCACGCTGGCGCCCCTCGACACAGGGGACACAGGCAGGGCCAGGGCCCTGAGGAAGGGGAGGGAGGGACCGGGGGAGACCAGACACAAGAAGACGGGAGGACATGCCTCTGAGCCGAAGCAGAGAGGGGTGGCCAAGGCGGTGGTGCCAGAGGAGAGTCTCGTGAGACAGACGGCGACACGAACAGGGGGCAGACTCAGGACCAGACCTGGACGCTGCAGCAAACACCTGACCAGACGAAGGGACTCTACCAGACTCAGCACCGAGAGGAGAAGCAGTGGTCAGTGTGTACAGGCTCGACCCTGGCTGACGTGTAAACGTAGCCAGGTGGCGACCTGTGCTAGCCTCTGTGCAGTGTGTCACCCGCTGACGAGCAGGAGTGAACTGGTGGACCCCCACATCCTGTAGGTCAGCACCACTCACCAGGTTCGTAGAGAACGAGGGGAGGTAAAGACCAGTCAGGGTGCCAGAGGGAGCCGCCGGACACGGGAGGACCGTGGAGAAGCGAGACAGGACAGGACCCCCAGAGGGGTCAGCCAGGGACACCGCAACCGGCCGCCTAAGCGGCGTGAGAGTGGTGCGGTCCCGAAAGAAGGAGCGAGACGCCCTAGAGTCAAGGGTGAAGGTGTGGGAGGAAGACGCCGACACAGTACCTGAGAGGGCAGACTCACTAGCACCTGAGAGCACAGACGCACTGGCATCTAGAGCAGCAGCCCCACTGGCACCTAACACACAGTACCAATGCCCGGGTCGGGCGGAAAGCACTGGTAACAGTCACCATCATCACTAACAGTCACAGCATACATGGCAGCAAGGATAGCATCAAAGTCAAGATCAAACACAGCTACACCAGCCCTAGACAGCTCTCCCCAGCGGGGGATCTCAGAGGCCTCCGGAAACTGCTGGCGCCAAGCGTCGGTCAGGCGGGCAAAGCAGCAGCGAGCGGTGTGGGTGCCCCCACACTCCTCACCCGCGCGGTCGCCGGTGCGAAGGATGTAGGTGCAGGGACCGAACGCCCCACCACGATGATGCTGCGAGTACCACTCACGGAGCTGCTGAGGGGCGGGGACGTCGCGAGAGTGCTGCCGCTGCTGCTGCTGCTGCTGCTGCTGCTGCTGGCGCTGACCACCCCCAGTGCCGCTCCTCTGGGACGAGCCACTCCGAACACCTCCACCACCGCCACCCCCGCCTCCGCCGCCACCGCCGCCACCGCCACCCTCGCCCCCGCCGCTCCCACTGCCTCCTCCGCCACCACCTCCGCCGCCACCTCCGCCTCCACCGCCGCCACCAGTACCTCCACTCCCGCCTCCACCCCCACCACCACCCCCACTCCCCCCGCCGCCCCCACCTCCTCCGCCACCGCCCCCGCTAGCTCCACCCGCTCCCTTGCCCCCCTTGCTCCTGCCAGAGCGGCGCCTACCGCTGGGGGCAGACGCCGCACCGACCGACTCTAAACCAACGAGGTCGGCCGCAGCAGCAGAGGCGACAGAGGGTAGCAGGGGGGAAGGAGAACACCCCTCAAAGATGGGGGTGCGCGGGTCACCACGAGAGGCCCCTACAGCGACTATGCTCTTCTCGGCCGCTAGCAGGGACTTCTCAAGGAGGTCGACAGTGAGGGTGGTGGGACAGACAGAGAGAAACTGGTCCCTAATAGCACGAAGGGACTCAGGGAGACGGGTGACTAGAAAGTAGAGGGTGATGTACATGGGAGGGGGGTTTTCGGCGAGGAAGGCAGCAGGAAGCGCAGCTCGGTAGCGAGTGTCACTAGCGCGAAGGTGGGTAAAGAGGTCAGTGACTGTGGGAAAGGCAGCAAGGTCAGGGAAGAGGTACGGTAGCATGAGGCGGCTCAGTGTAGCAGTGGAAGGGGAGGAGTAGCGCGCAACTACATCGTCGTACAAGGCCTGAGCGGTCTTGCACTGACTAAAGTGTGCACGCTCGGAGGAAGGGAGGTGGCGACGCACAGCAAGACGTGCAGCAGCATCGCGTGTGGCCCACTTGGAGCGAACAGTGGGGTCAGCATCAGCAGGAGGGGCAGGGACAATGCCAGAGACAAAGTCAAAGAGAGAAACCTCATCGATCGCATCGCACAGTAAGTACAGCTGCAGGTCCTCAATCCAGACTGCAAAGTCAATGGCGCAACCCTCAGCGTCAAAAGTCAGGACACTGGGGGTGGCCATTGTAGCAGCTGACAGTCTCACCGGGCAGGAAGAGTCGGGTAGCACAGCGACACAGCAACACGGCAGCACAGCAGCTGCGCCGGCCCAGGAGCAGTAGGAGCCTCACACGAGCAGAAGATCGGCTCCTCGGGCGGCTCGGGCGGCACGGGCAGCTCGGGCGGCTCGGGCGGCTCGGGCGGCGCGGGCGTCTCGCGGGCGGCTCGGGCGGCGCGGGCGTCTTGCGGGCGGCTCGGGCGGCTCGGGCGGCGCAGGCGTCTCGCGGGCGGCCGCACGGGCGGCTGGGACGGCTCGCGGGCGGCTGCACTGGCGGTTGGGGCGGCTCACGGGCGATGCACGGGCGGCTGCACGGGCGGCTGGGGCGGCTCGTAGGCTGCGCACGGGCGGCTGCACTGGCGGCCGCACGGGTAGGTGCACGGGCGGGTGCACGGGCAGGTGCACGGGCGACGCGGCGGCGAGGCCGCTTAGCAGAGGGCGACGGGGCGGCGTGAGCAAGGCGGCGGGGCCGCTTAGCAGAGGGCGGCGGGGCCGCTTAGCAGAGGGCGGCGGGGCCGCGATCGAAGGGCGGCGGGGCCGCTTAGCAGAGGGCGGCGGGGCCGCGATCGAAGGGCGGCGGGGCCGCTTAGCAGAGGGCGGCCTGGCCGCTAAGGAAGGGCGGCGGAGCCGCGATCAAAGGGCGGCGGGGCCGCGATCGAAGGGCGGCGGGGCCGCTAAGGAAGCGCGGCGGAGCCGCGATCGAAGGGCGGCGGGGCCGCTAAGGGAAGGGCGGCGCGACGGGCCGCTGAGGGCGACACAACGGGTCGCGAAAAAAAAAAGGAAAACGCGCCTCGAGGCGCGCTTCGGTGGGCCCTAGAAGCAGTCCCTAGGAGGGAACCTGCTCTGATTCCATGTGAAAGAAAGAATGAGAATGGATTGAACTAAGAATGAAGTGAGTACAAATATGAAACCCTAATTGGGTTGTACCCCCTATGGGATACCCCACTATAGCCTACACAAATAAGTAAGCTATAATGTTCTGACAAGTGAGGCCAAGTAGGCACAAGACCTAGCATCGTACAAAAGCGCTGATGATCACAAGGCTGAAGTGCCTTGGTAAAGATATCAGCAGTGTTGGCCCGAGGGGCCACGTAAGCAAGGCGCAGCTGACCACGCTGCTGTAGCTCACGAACAAGGAAGTAGCGAAGAGCAATGTGCTTCGTTCTGTGCTCCAATCTGTGCTCCCGACACAAGGCCAGCATGGCCTTGTTGTCTACGTACAGAACTGGAGGAGAACGAGGCGGCTCTCCTAGGTCAGTCAGCAGGTAGGTGAGCCAGCGTAACTCCTGTGCAGCCATGGCCCCTGCGTAGATCTCAGCCTCACAGCTGGAGCCGAGAACAGAAGACGAGCAGGTAGACCGCCACGAAACAGAGCCGGAACCAAGGCTGAAGGTGTAACCATGTGACGACCGCTGCGTAGCCTGGTCGTTAGCCCAAGAAGCGTCTGCGTGACCAGTGAGGACCACTGGACGCCGCCCTCCAAGCACGAGCCCCATGCCCGACGTACCGCACAAGTAGCGCAACACCCTCTTCGCTGCAGCCATGTGCTCAGGTCTGTGTCTCCCAGGAGCAACATAGCGTGCCAAGATGCTAAGAGGGTATGCAAGGTCGGGTCGAGTGCAGGTCATCAGGTACATGAGGCAGCCAACAAGCTCTGGGTACAGGCCACTCGGCTCTACGAACTCATCCGAAGGCAGAGCTGAGAGCGGGTGGCGAGTAGAAAGAGGAGTGGCCTGAGGCGAGGAGTACGTGAAGTCGAAGCGCTGAAGGACCTGCTGCACCATGTATGACTGAGTCAGGGTAATGGTGCGCTGTGCTCTATCCTAGGTGATCTGCAAGCCAAGGAAGCTGCGCAGTTCACCCAGGTCTGTGCACGTGTGTCTCTTCTGCAGCTCCGACTTCACGTGGGCGAGTCCAGCAATGTCAGCAGTAGCAAAGACAAAGTCGTCGACGTACACGAGGATGTAGAATGGCGGCAAAGAGGTGTCGGTGCATAGAAACAGCGACGGGTCGGCAGTAGAAGGAGCAAAGCCAAGAGCCACAAGTGTAGTCCTTAGTGTGTCGTGCCACTCACGGGGCGCCTAGCGGAGACCGTAGACTGGCCGCCGGAGGCTTCACTGGGTACCAGGAGGAAACGACCCAGTGAAGCCAGGTGGGCGGCGCAGCCATATCTCCTCGTGCACGCTGCCCTGTAGGAAAGTAGTGCTGAAGTCAAGAGAGTGAAGCTCGTAGTCTCGTTGAGCGGCTATGTGCAGAAGCACCCAAAGAGTGGTCATCTTCGGGGTGGGAGAGAAGGTCTGAAAGTAGTCAACTCCCTGCCGTTGACTGAAGCCTCGAGCCACGTAACGCGCCTTGAAGACAGGCGGAGAACCCGGCGGCCGCTTCAGCCTGAAAATCCACATGCCACTGACGATGTTCTCCCCATGTGGGGTAACCTCGTCGACGTAGGTGCCTGTGGACTTCCAGGAAGCCATCTCTGCGTCCATGGCTGACTGCCACTGAGAGGAGTAGGGACCCTCTATCGCCTCTGCGTAAGAGCGCGGAGTCGGGATGTCTGGTGCATCCAGGTCTCCCTCAGGGGCAATCAACATGGACACGAGCTAAGATATAGCAGCAGTAAAACACTGGAACTCCTCCTGCCTGTCCTCAAGGACGTCCGTGCTAAGAGCACACTCACCCCCGACGGATGGAGGGCAGACAGACACAGACTGGGCAACAATAATAGCAGCGTAGTCTAGACGGCAGCAAGCAGCTAAGTCGACAAGCTCAGCAACTAGGGCGGACGCAGCAGTGGACTCAAAGGAAGGGTCAGTGACAACAGTGGCCAGAAGACGCGTGACAGTAGGAGTGGCAGCACGAAGAGAGTCAGACTCCGGGTCAGCAAGAGCAGGAAGAGAGGACTCTGGAGGAGACGGCAAGGGGACACGCAGTAGAGCAGTGGAAGGACACAGTGCCATCTGGTGCGTGCCCGGGACCGCAGGAGGACGCGGACGCGGAACACGACGACTAGTGTGAGCAGCACGAACAGGCAACGCAGGATGAGACGCAGGCTCACGACGCTCAGCAAGACCTCCAGTAGGACCAGTGTAGGGAGAAGGAGAAGGCAGTGGGGAGGCGGGCTGTAATTGTGACTCAGATTGGACAGATGGCGGACACACGAAGGAAGGAGTAGGACCAGCATTAGGCGGGAGACGAAGAAACTGCTCGAGGAGCGGAACGAAGTACGGTCGCGGCCGCGCAGCGCGTCTAGAACCACCAGGGACAGCACCAGCACCCCCACCGGCAGCACCAGCACCAGTAGCACCCCCAGCTGCAGCAGCGCGTACTCCAGCACCCTCAGAAGCACCAGCGCCAGCAGCACCTCCAGCGCCAACACCCCCAGCAGCTCCAGCTCCAGCCGGACCACCGGAAGATGCAACAGCTCCAGCTCCAGCAGCTCCGGAGGAGTGAGGAGCGGCGCGCTGCCACCTCTTGACACAGGGAATGCAGGTAGGGGCAGGCCCCGGAGGAAGAGGAGGGAGGGACCGGGGGAGACCAGAGACAAGGACACAGGAGGCCATGCCTCGGAGACGAAGTAGGGAGGGGTGACCAAGGCGGTGGTGCCACAGGAGTGTCTGGTGAGACAGGAGACGACACGAGCAGAGGGCAGACTCAGGACCAGACCTGGACGCTGCAGCAAACACCTGACCCGACGCAGCTACCTGATCAGACGCAGCAACCGGAGGAGACTCAGTAGTCAGTGTGTACAGGCTCGACCCCGGCCGACGGGTAAACGTTGCCAAGTGTCGGCCCGTCCGAGCACACGTGCAGTGGGTCACTCGCTGACTCACAGGAGTGAACTGGACAACCCCCCCATCCTGTAGATCAGCACCACTCACCAAGTTCGTAGAGAACGAGGGGAGGTAAACACCTGACAGGGTGCCAGAAGGGGCCGCCGGACACGGTAAGACAGTGGAGAAGAGGGCAAGGACAGGACCCCTAGAGGGGTCTACCAGGGAGACCACAACCGGCCGACTAAGCGGCGTGAGTGTGGTGCGGTCTCGAAGAAAGGAGCGGGAAGCACCCGAGTCAAGGGTGAAGGTGTGTAAGGCCTGAGCCGACGTGGTACCTGAGAGAGCAGACTCACCAGCACCTTGGGCAGCAGACTCACCAGCACCTGGAGCAGCAGACGCACTAGCACCTAGAGCAGCAGCCTCACCAGCACCTAGAGCAGGAGCCTCAATGCCCGAGTCAGGCGGAACACACAGGTAACAGTCATCTTCATCACTAGTAGACACAACATACATGGCAGCAAGAATAGCATCATAATCAAGATCAAAGATAGCAACCCCCGACCTAAGCAGTTCGCCCCACCGAGGGATCTTAATGGCGTCAGGGAACTGGTGACGCCAAGCGTCCGTCAGGCGGCCGAAGCAGCGCTGGGTGGTGTGCGGGCCACCGCACGGCTCACCAGTGCGGTCGCCGGTACGCAGGACGTAGGCACAGGGACCAGCACCCCCACCCCGCTGACGCGCAGCGTACCACTCAAGAAGCTGCTGGGGGGGCGGGGTCTCACGATTGCGCTGCTGCTGCTGCTGGCGCGGACCACCACCAAAGCCGACCCGCTGCGCAGAGCCACCCCGACCAGCTCCACCGCCGCCGCCGCCACCTCCGCCACCGCCGCCATCGCCGCCTCCTCCGCTCCCACCGCCACCGCCACCGCCGCCTCCGCCTCCACCGCCGCCACCGAAGCCCCCACCCCCTCCACCACTCCCACCGCCACCCCCACCCCCTCCACCGCCTCCACCGCCACCTCCACCGCCCCCGCCAGCTCCTCCAGAGCCCTTGCCCCCCTTGCCCTTGCCGGTGCGGCGTCTCTCGCTAGGGGCAGACGCAGCGCCGACCGACTCGGTGCCAACGAGGTCGACCGCAGTAGCAGAGGCAACAGAGGGCAAAAGGGGGGAGGGGGAGCACCCCTCAAAGAAGGGGATACGAGGGTTACCACGAGAGGCTCCTACAGCGACTATACTCTTCCCAGCTGCTAGGAGGCGCTCCTTGAGGAGGTCAATGGTGAGTGTGGTGGGGCAAATAGAGAGGAAGTGGTCCCTGACCGAGCGAAGGGAGTTAGGGAGCTGGGTGACTATGTAGTAGAGGGTGATGTACATGGGGGGGGGGGGGGGGGTCAGGAAACAGGTACGGCAGCATGAGGCGGCTAAGGGCAGCAGTAGCAGGGGAAGAGTAGCGTGCAACTACAACGTCGTAGAAGGTCTTAGCACTCTTGTACTAACTAAAGTGCGCGCGTTCAGTGGACGGAAAGTGACTACGCACAGCAAGACGGGCAGCAGCATCGCATGTGGCCCACTGTGAGCGAACAGTGCTATCAGCATCGACAGCAGGGGCAGCAGAGGCGCCAGACATGAGATTGAACTGTGAGAAACCGTCTTTGCTATCGCACTGCAGGAAAAGCTGCAGATCATCGACCGAGACCTCAAAGTCGACAGCACAAACCTCAGCAGCAAAGGTGAGAACACTAGGGGTAGCCATGACAACAGCACCAGTAGGCTAGCAGCAGTAGCAGCAGGCTAGGAACAGCTGAGTAGCAGAGGCGCGGCTCGGCGGTGCTCTTACTAGGGCGGGTGGGTAGAGGTCCGCAAGTGGTGGGGCAGGGCCGAGTCGCGCCGGCAAGGACAGGGCCGCAACAGGGCGGCAGAGGAGTGCCGCCCCTCAGCTGGAGGGCAGGGCCGGGACGGTGGCGGCGGCTTCTGCTATCGGCGGCGGCGGTGGCTGCGGCCTCGGCAGTGGCGGCGGCGGCTGTCACGGCAGCGGTGGCGGCAGCTGCTGTTGTCGGCGGCGGTGGCGGCGGCTGCGGCCCCGGCAGCGGCGGCGGCGGCTGTCACGGCAGTGGTGGCGGCGGCTGCGTCGGCGGCGGCCGTGGGGCGGCAGGGCCGGGAAGAGCCGGGGAGGGGCCGTGAAGGGGCCGCGATGAGCAACGAAGGAGCCGTAGAGAGGCCATGAAGGAGCCGCGAAGGGCCGCGGAGGAGCCGCAAAGGGGCCGCTAAGGGCGGCGAAGGGGCCGAGAAGGGGCCACCAAGGGCCGTGAAGGGGCCACGAAGGGCGGCGACGGGGCCGAGAACGGGCCGCGAGCGGCCACGAAGGGGCCGCGAAGAGCGGCGAAGGGGCCGCGAGGGGCCGCGAGGAGCCGCGAAGGGCCGTGAGAGAGGCCGCGAAGGGCTTTAAGAGGGCGCGACGGACCGCTAAGGGCAGGGGACGCGACGGGAGGGCAGGCACACGGGGCGCGACTAGGGCAGGCGCGAAGCGCGCTCCGGGCAGGTAAATAAAATTTCGATTTCGTGGTGGGCCCTAGGAAACGTTCCCACTAGGGAACCTGCTCTATACCATGTGAAGTAATGAGGAATGATGGACTAGGAAATAAGTTGGGTACAAATATGTAACCCCAGAAAACTGTACCCCATACTATCTACCCCACTACAGCCCAGAAAGACTATAGCATAAATGTTTGACAAAGTAAGGAAAAGGATTTATTCTTACCCACCCCCCCCCCCCCCCCCCTCCAACCCACCCACCCTAAGGAGGCCCTCCTTACGAAAGCGTGTGGTGGTTCTCGATTCTATCTAGGGGAACCCATCTGTCTTCGGTGGGCGTGCTGTCTCTCCACCGGATCAGAAATTCGATTCTGCGAGCTTCACGTGGATCACGAACTCGGTGGCTCAGTATTTTTTAGGGCGTGATGATCGGCTTTGTCGGCGATCGTGTCATGCTGGTGGGGCGGCTGCGAGGCAGTTGGCTGATGGATGGGACATACGGGCGAAGCAAGCTGACGTGGAACAACGGGCTGACGCACCAGTCAGGTATGGAGGGGGAGGTGGGCGGTGACGGGAGTGATCATGTGGCTGATGCGAAAATGGCCCGCAATATCGAGGGCGGAATTTTGGGGTGATGGGCGGGCGGAGGTTTTGGGTGTCGAATAAGAAAAGGTCGTCGGGCTGGTAAGTGACAGGTCGGCAGTGGCAGTCGGCGTTGCGTTTAGCGATGAAGTTTGATTTTTTTATTGCGTCTGCTGCTCGGGTCCATGCTACCTGTAAATTTTTTTCATATTGATGCGCGCATGGCACCGGGTTGTCGAGTTGAGTCATGGGTACTCTGGGGTCTTGTCCATAGCTCAGGTAGAGGTGATGTTCGAGAGCACATAGGATACAGCGAGGGGGAGGGGTGTGAGAGAAACTAGAACGAGAATGAATGAACTATGAATGAAGTGAGTACATATAGGAAACTCTGATTGGGTTGTACCCCCTATGGGATACCCCACTATAGCCTACACAAATATATAAGCTATAATGTTCTGACACACCCCCATAGGCAAAGTGGGTGAGAACAAGGGGTCACAAGACAAGTCAAGCAAAGCAAAGCAAAGCTCAGGGTGGATCACAAAGTCACCACACATTCCGAGCACAAATTCAGAGGCCAGAAGGCCAGTTCACATGCAAGATCACATATATATATATATAAGAGGCTAAGCAAGCAAGAGCAAGAGTATATATATATGACAATACAAACAAGGTCAAGAAGTGAGCAAGTGAGGCAAGACAGGCACAAGACCCAGCTGAGTGCAGAAGCGCTGATGATCACAAGGCGCAAGTGCCTTGGTGAAGATATCAGCAGTGTTGGCCTCAGAGGCCACGTACGCAAGCCGCAACTGTCCACGCTGCTGTAGCTCACGAGCAAGAAAGTAGCGGAGAGCAATGTGCTTTGTTCTTTGCTCCAGTCGCTGCTCTCGACACAAGGCCAGCATGGCCTTGTTGTCTACGTACAGGACTGGAGGAGAACGAGGCGGCTCTCCAAGGTCAGTCAGCAGGTAGGTGAGCCAGCGAAGCTCCTGGGCAGCCATAGCCCCGGCGTAGATCTCAGCCTCACAACTGGAGCCGAGAACAGAAGACGAGCGAGTAGCCCGCCACGAAACAGAGCCGGAACCAAGACTGAAAGTGTAACCCTGTGACGACCGCTGCGTAGCCTGGTCGTCAGCCCAAGAGGCGTCCGCGTGCCCAGTGAGGACCACTGGACTCCGCCCTCCAAGCACTAGCCCCATGCCCGACGTACTGCACAAGTAGCGCAACACCCTCTTCGCTGCAGCCATGTGCTCTGGTCGGTGTCTCCCAGGAGCAACATAGCGTGCGAGAATGCTAAGAGGGTATGCAAGGTCAGGTCGTGTGCAGGTCATCAGGTACATGAGGCAGCCAACAAGCTCTGGATACGGGCCACTCGACTCTACGGACTCATCCGAAGGCAGAGCTGAGAGCGAGTGGCGAGTAGGCAGAGGAGTGGCCTGAGGCGAGGAGTACGTGAAGCCGAAGCGCTGAAGGACCTGCTGCACCATGTGTGACTGAGTCAGGGTAATGGTGCGGCGTGCTCTGTCCCGGGTGATCTGCAAGCTAAGGTAGCTGCGCAGTTCACCCAGGTCAGTGCACGTGTGTCTCTTCTGCAGCTCGGACTTCACGTAGGCGAGTCCAGCAGTGTCAGCTGTGGCAAAGACCAAGTCGTCGACGTACACGAGGATGTAGAACGGCGGCAGAGAGGTGTCGGTGCGCAGAAACAGCGACGGGTCGGCAGTAGAAGGAGCAAACCCAAGTGCCGCCAGTGTAGTCCTCAGTGTGTCGTGCCACTCACGTGGCGCCTGGCGGAGACCGTAGACTGGACGCCGGAGACTCCACTGGGTACCAGGAGGGAACGACCCAGTGAAGCCAGGTGGGCGGCGCAGCCAGATCTCCTCGTGCAGGCTGCCCTGCAAGAAAGCAGTGCTGAAGTCGAGAGAGTGCAGCTCGTAGTCACGGTGAGCAGCAACGTGCAGCAGTACCCGAAGAGTGGTCATCTTCGGGGTAGGGGAGAAGGTCTGAAAGTAGTCAACTCCCTGCCGCTGACTGAAGCCACGAGCTGCGTAACGCGCCTTGAAGAGAGGCGGAGAACCTGGCGGCCGCTTCACCCTGAAGATCCACATGCCACTGACGATGTTCGCCCCAGGAGGGGGGACAGCGTCAACGTAGGTGCCTGTGGACTTCCAGGAAGCCATCTCTGCATCCATAGCTGCCTGCCACTGAGAGGAGTAGGGACCCTCTATCGCCTCCGCGTAAGAGCGCGGAGTCGGGATGTCAAGTGCATCCGGGTCTCCCTCAGGGGTAAGCAGTACGGACACGAGATGAGGTGAAGCAGCGGCCGGACACTGGAACTCCTTCTGCCTGTCCTCAAGGACGTGCGTGCTAAGGGCACACTCACCCCCGACGGACGGAGGACAGACAGACTCAGACTCAGCGACGAGACTAGCAGCGTAGTCTAGGCGACAGCGAGCAGCAAAGTCGACGAGCTCAGTAACAAGGGCAGACGCAGCAGTAGACTCGAAAGAAGGGTCAGTGACGGCAGTAGCAAGTAGACGCGTGACAGTAGGACTGGCAGCACGAAGAGAGTCCGACTCCGGGTCGGCAAGAGCAGGAAGAGAGGACGCAGGAGGAGAAGGCAAAGGGGCACGCAGAGGAGCAGTGGACGGACGCAGAGACATCCAGTGCGTGCCAGGGACAGGAGGAGGACGCTGACGCGAACCGCGACCACTAGTGCGCGTAGCACGAACAGGCGACGCAGGACGAGACGCAGGCTCACGACGCTCAGTAAGACCTCCAGTAGGACCAGCGTAGGGAGAAGGAACAGGCAAAGGGGAGGCAGGCTGTAGCTGTGACTGTGACTCGGCAGGCTGTGGACCCTCTAAGGGAGGAGGAGGAGGACCAGAAGAAGGTGTAAGACCAAGAACCTGCTGCAGGAGTGGAACGAAGTACGGTCGAGGCCGGGTGGCGACGCCAGAAACAGCAGGGACAGCACCAGGACCCCCAGAAGGAGTACCCGCTCCAGCAGCACCTCCAGCAGCTCCAGCACCTCCAGTAGCACCTCCAGCAGGACCGCCAGTGGTAGTCTCAGCGCCAACACTCTCAGCAGCACCAGCTCCAGTCGAACCTGCAGGCCCAGCAGCTCCAGTACTCCCAGGACGAGCACCTCCGGGAACCGCGACAGCAGCACCCTCAGTAGCCGACGAACCTCCAGCACCAGTAGCATGGCTCCAGTGGCGGGCAAACCACTCGCGCAACTCCTGTGGAGAGAGTGGCTCCCG